GGGTCGGTGAGTTGGTCGGTGAGTGGATCGGTGAGTCGGTGAGTGGGTGGGTGAGTGGGTCGGTGAGTGGGTGGGTGAGTGGGTCGGTGAGTGGGTGGGTGAGTGGGTCGGTGAGTGGGTGGGTGAGTGGGTCGGTGAGTGGGTGGGTGAGTGGATCGGTGAGTGGGTCGGTGAGTAGGTCGGTGAGTGGGTCGGTGAGTGGGTGGGTGAGTGGATCGGTGAGCGGGTCGGTGAGTGGGTGGGTGAGTGGATTGGTGAGTGGGTCGGTGAGTGGATCGGTGAGTGGGTCGATGAGTAGGTCGGTGAGTGGGTCGGTGAGTGGTTGGGTGATTGGATCGGTGAGTGGGTGGGTGAGTGGGTGGGTGAGTGGGTGAGTGGGTCGGTGAGTAGGTCGGTGAGTGGGTCGGTGAGTGGGTGAGTGAGTGGATCGGTGAGAGGGTGGGTGAGTGGGTGGGTGAGTGGGTGGGTGAGTGGGTCGGTGAGTGGGTCGGTGAGTGGATCGGTGAGTGGGTCGATGAGTAGGTCGGTGAGTGGGTCGGTGAGTGGTTGGGTGATTGGATCGGTGAGTGGGTGGGTGAGTGGGTGGGTGAGTGGGTGGGTGAGTGGGTGAGTGGGTCGGTGAGTAGGTCGGTGAGTGGGTCGGTGAGTGGGTGAGTGAGTGGATCGGTGAGAGGGTGGGTGAGTGGGTGGGTGAGTGGGTGGGTGAGTGGGTCGGTGAGTGGGTCGGTGAGTGGGTCAGGAACAGGTTGAGTGAGTGGGGATAGCCTTTACAGACTGTTGGGGCAAGTGCGGTTAGCGAGCACCTATGAAGGCCGGCACGGCACACGAGGGGGTGGGTGCCTAGCACCACGCTCCAGCCGCCTTTGTCTCCCGAGTGGTGATGTTTACACACTGCACAATGTACTCATTTGAGGCCCAAGACCAGCTCCAATGTTCGTTACTGGTGTTGGCCGTGAGCGGGAATCAAACTCGGGTCGCTGGGTTCGCTAACTGCTCCACTACCACTGCCCACACAACACCCCCACGCAAACACACCCACAAAAACAACAATAACCGCCATTCACCACTAATTGGAGGTGACGTCACCACGACGCTTGTGCCAGGCTATGTGCACATTGAGGCCACGTGAAGTATCGAACACCCACTGGCAGGAGCCAGGTGCCACGGGTCGACTGACTGAGATGACTGGCTGATGCACCACCTGTGCCCCCTACTGTGCCAACTTGCTGTGCTTTAGCCACCCTGCACTCCACTTGTTGTTGTGAGCGTCGCTCCTCCACCCTCCGTTGTTGTTGGAGGGTGACTGCCTCCAACTGCCCAGTAGCAGCGTCCTTCACGAGCCTCCTCCACACAGGCCGATCTTGACACCGCTGGTACCAGTCATCGGCAAGTCCACTCAGCACCACGTCCTCCTGTACCACATCACTCCATCTCTTCTCTAGCCCGTGCCGCGCCCGTTTAGCCCCCTCGATCCGGCCGAACAAAAGCTGTTTTGGCATGCGGTGGCTGGGCATGCGGGCTACATGACCCAGCCAACGCAGCCTTGCCTACCGGAGGAGCTTACCAATGGGACTTTGTCCAGATCTTTCAAGGATTTGTGAGCTCCTCACACAATCCAGCCTGGTTAAACCCAGGACGGATCGTAGGCAGGCCAGCCTAAATGTTTCTAACCGGCGAAGATGTTACATTAGGGGGGTCCACGTTTCGCAAACGTAGAGAAGCGAGGGAATGACCATGGCCGAGAAAACCTGAAGCTTCGTGCGGAGCAACAGACCAGGTAGCTTCTACACAGCGTTACACAACCGATGAAAAGATGATGCTGTACATCATTAGACCTCCTTTGCCAGTACCAAAATTTAATAATAGGGTTTTTCCCCTTTTTTCTGGCAACAAAACTGAAACCTTTTTACAAGGATTCATGTCTGCATTAACCACAATACCTGCAGTCAAAATGCAAACAAAAACATACTTTGATAATATATTGGCATTGTCCTTGAAACTGATTGGTCCACACCAAGGGACGGCTTTCTTTTGAGCCTCGACCCAATTGGCGTTATCTGGTCGAGCACCAATTGGGTCGAGGCTCAAAAAAAAGCCTTCCCTTGGCGTGGACCAATCAGTTTCAAGGACAATGCATATATTATCATAGTATGTTTTTTGTTTGCATTTTGACTGCAGGTATTGTGGTTAATGCAGACATGAATCCTTGTAAAAAGGTTTAAGTTTTGTTGCCAGAAAAAAGGGGAAAAACCCTATTATTAAGATAATGCTGCTCAACTGATTCGGAGTGAGACCTCTGCTGTCAAACCGGAGCCAGTCATGACCACACTGCCCAGGTATGGGAAACTCTCCACTCTCTCCACAATTGCCCCATCACCAATTGGGAGTTGTGGGGGTGGAGTATCCGATAGTACAAAATGCCCAGGCAGGTGCTTAAATTTGGTGGGGCTGATGGTAAGGAGTTTTGGTGGGGCTGATGGTAGGTAAGGCCCCACCTCTTAGTGGCAAGCTCCAGGTTCAGCAGCAGTGCCTCCAACTCCTCCCCTGAGTGAGCAGCAATTACCAGATCATCGGCATACATAACGTGGCATCGATCATCTGGTACAGATACCATTGTATCTGTGCCAGATGGAAATTCCTCTGGTACAGCCATCGAAGGCTTCGCGAACGTGGTTGAAATAGATGTTAAATAATGTGGGAGCCAGAGGACATCCCTGTCGCACCCCAAGGTGAACAGGGAATAGCTCCGACTCTCAGCCACGTAGTTTTACCCGGGCTCGCTCACCATCACGAAGGTCCTTAATGATCATGAGCAGAGGGTCAGGGACTCTGAAAGCACAAAGAACAACCCAAAGCCCAGGCCTACTGATGGTATCAGAGGCCTTGACCAGGTCAACAAAGCAGGGATGTAGGTCTTGTTGGAATTCCCTACACCACTGCTGTATCAGATGGACAGAAAATATGGCATCTGTGCAGGACCGCCATTTCCTGAAACCGCATTGGGGCTCCGCAAGCCTCTCCTCAGTGTGCCTAGCAAGGCGATGTTGAATAATCCTTGCCAAGACCTTTCCCGGCACACTGAGGAATGAGATGCTCCTGTAGTTGTTAGTCTGTGCGGTCCCCCTTCTTGAAGAGGGGGACAACCAGGGCATCCTTCCAATCCTGCAGAACCCGTCCAGTGGTCCAGACTGTAGTTATGATGGCATGTAGGGCAGTCTGTGCACAAACACCACCCTCCCTCAGCATTCCACTTGGGAGAACATCTCTACCCAGTGCCTTTCCTGGTCTCAGACTCTGGATCACCTTCAGTACTTCCTCAACAGATGGCACCTCAGCCAGCCACTCACAGGGGGTAACTTCTTCCAATATTTGAGGCACCACAGCCTCCGCAGGGTCATCCCCACTTTGTGCCACGATGTTTTCCTGGCTGAGGGATTTCCCCTCCCCCAGGACCTCACGGAAATGCTCAGCAAATCTGTAAACCTTTTCCTGGGGGTCGGAGATTGGATCACCGTTCTTTCCCCTAATGATGGTAATAGGTGTGGCGCTGCAAGTTATTTTTTTGATGGAGTTAAAGAGTGATTTGTGATCGCGGGCCATTGAGGCAGACTCCATCTCCTCAGCAGCCCGCGACCACCACTCATCCTTGCAGCGCCTCACGGCTTTCCGAACCATTGAGTGTAGGCTGCGGTAAGCCTCCTCATTCTCTGACATGGGATGCTGTTGACGATGAGAGTGGGCCTGTTGCTTTTTCTCAGCCAGCCTGAACACCCCCTCTGTCAGCCAGGGTCTCTGGGGAGGTCTGGACCATGTACCCAAAGCAGCCATTGCAGCTGCATGAGCCACAGTCCTAAACCTCGCCCATTTCCCCTCAACGTCAGGAGAAGTGGGGGACGATGCCAACCCCAGCCGCAAGCGACGATTACATTCTCACTTGCAACTTTCATCAGCTAGCTGAGACCAGGCCACTATGGGTTTGAATGGGGTCCTGGGTGTACACTCACCACCGGAGTGTAAAAATAGCAGGCGCATCTTACAGATGACAAGTCAATGGTCAGTGGGCAGATGAGCTCCACGGTAGGTCCTGGTGTCAAGAACATAGGCACGCATCCGCTGTTCCATCACTATGTAGTCCAGCAGATGTTCTTGCTTGAACCCGGCATGCATCCATGATGTTGTGTGGATGCGCCGATGCCAGAACAGCGTGTTGGTATTTGCAAGCCCATGGGCCACACAAAAATCTAGCAGCCTCCTACCGTTGTTATTGAGCTGACCTGGCCCATGCCTTCCAATCACTTCAGACCAGGTGCCAGCATCATGACCAACTCGGGCATTGAAGTCGCCCAACAAGATGACTCCATCCCGAGAGGGCCACTTTAGCCAGCACCTGTGACAGGAGGTCATGAAAGGCATCTGACTCATCGGTCTTGCCTGCATCCCTCCACGGACGTTCGTCTTCGGTGGGGGGCATAAGTAACCACGACCACCACTCCTCGCCTCCGGTCGATGGGAAGGCGAGCCCAAAGTAGCCTGGGGCTTACAGCTTCCCACACCTCACCGCCACGCTCCCACGCCCCCTTCATTCTCTTGTTCAGAAGAAGAGCCACTCCCTGTTGTTTGGCAGTCTCCTGCCTCGAGTAGAGGACTGTCCACCCCTCATGGTGGCAGGAGCCAGAGCCATGTCCACCCACGCACCCACACACGCGCACCCACAACACACGCGCGGGCACCCGCACGCACGCCGCCGCGCCCGCACGGACGGGCCAACCTGTCGGGTTTGCTGGCGCGCGCGAATCCCTCGTCGTGGCCGGCGACCCTGGCCTGGAACTGGCGCGCCAGCTCGTCGTGCCGAGCGTCGAGCAGGACCACGCCGTTGCGCAGGCCGTCCAGCGCTCGCCCCACCGACGCGCAGTGCCGCTCCACCTCCTCCACGTGCCCCCTCAGCTCCTCTGGGCGGCAGGTGACGCCCCACGCACAACAACGAGCGAAAGAAATCAAACTCCGTCTCCTTGTTTTTCACTTCCGTAACCGAGCTGTGCCGGTGGGGGGGGGGGGGGGGGGGTGGGTGGGTGGGGGGGGATGGGGGAGTCAGTGAAGCGCCGGGTCCAGGAGCATGGCCTACGTGATTCACCGCACAACAACGCATGGAGGTGACGCGGTGATGCTTTGTTGATTTTCGGGGGGGGGGGGTGATGCAGTGACGTAGACCGTCCCTACTGCTGCACGTGGCCTGGGTGGGGGGGGGGGGTGATGCAGTGACGTAGGCCGTCGCTACTGCTGCACATTGACTGGGTGGGGGGGGGGGAGGGTGATGCAGTGATGTACACCGTCCCTACTGCTGCACATTGCCTGGGTGGGGGGGGGGGGGTGATGCAGTGACATAGGCCGTCCCTACTGCTGCACATTGGTGGGGGGTGGGGGGGGCACTAACCGGCGCGCGCCTGCTTCACGTCGCGCCGCACGCGGGAGGCTCGGGGCCCGTGCAGGTGCAGCCGCAGCTGCATTTCCGCCTGCAGCTCCTCCTTCTCCGCCTCGGCGACGGCGCGCGCTCGCTCCTCCGCGGAGGAGCGCCACCGGCTCGCGTGCTCGCCAAACTCCCAGGCCAGCCTGCACGTGTGACAGCGCGCGCGTGTGTGTGCGTGTGTGTGTGCGTGTGTGTGTGCGTGCGTGTGCGTGTGTGTGCGTGCGTGTGCATGTGCACGTGTGTGTGCGTGTGTGCATGTGCACGTGTGTGTATGCGTGTGTGCGTGTGTGTATACGTGTGTGTGCGTGTGCGCGTGCGTGCGTGTGTGTGCGTGCATGTGCGCGTGTGTGTGCGTGCGTGTGCATGTGCACGTGTGCATATGCGTGTATGCGCGTGTGCGCATGTGTGTGTGCGCGTGTGTGCGCGTGTGCGTGCGCGTGTGTGCGTGCGTATGTGTGCGTGTTTGTGTGTGCGCGTGTGTGTGTGTGCGGGGAGCGGTAGTGTAGTGGTTAGCGCCATCGTATCGTTCGTATCACTCCGTCTCCCGCCAAGCCACTGGACGCCTTATCGCCATTGTCATTATTCTGAGCAGGTTAGGAGCCACGGAGGGGCACAAGTTAATCCACTCGGCGAGGAGTCGGAGCCGCACGGGAGACGAAGCGCTGACCTGCAAATGAAAATGTGAAAGACGTGATGCCACAGGGCCCCCCCCCCTCCCTCCTTTTATTTTTCCGAGATGAGAAAGCGAGTTGGGGGGGGGACATCGGGGGACACAAAGGCCCCGGTGACGGACGCCGGTTGTCGGAGGCACAATTTCAGAATGTCTGGCTCTGAAAGCACTCTGATATTTAGGATATAATGCTAAGGCGTAAGCCATATATATATGCCAACTTGTTCTCTCAAATGTCATCGTGTGTGTGTGTGTGCGGGTGGGTGGTTCAGAGGTAGGGAGCGGTAGCGTAGCGGTTAGCGGCGCTGCGCTACGAACCCGGTGACCCGAATTCGATTCCCGCTCATGGCCAACACCAGTGGCAATTATCTGATCCGGTCACGAGCCTCCCCTAGGTCGACTCAGCCTCAAATAAGTACCTGCTGCGGTGTGTAAAACATTGCCACGAGGGAGACAAAGGCGGCCGGGCGTGGTATTGGCCACCCACCCCCTCGTGTGCCGTTCCAGCCTTCATAGGTGCCTACTCGCTAACAGCACCTGCCCCAACAGTCTGTTCAGGCTATACGGGGGAATCTTCGTTTTTGTTTGTGGTTCAGAGAGCTAACGTTGTATCAGAGACTTTCAGCCGGCACTCCTGAGTGCCATGAATTCCAAATCTAGGCAGCCAGCCGTGACTGAAATGGGTTCTCAAAAGCGAAGTGAGCTGATGGTCTCAGCCCGGTCACCAATTGGCAGGACCCTCCAGAGAGAGGAAGAGTCTTGAGACTCGGGTGAAACTTTCCTGGGCTAGCAAGCATTAATAAAATGAATTACAATAAATAAAACATTTTAAAGTTGGTCGGTCACAATTCATCTGTTTAACACGTGGCAGTTGTAGGGCTTTCGCGACCAATATTATTCATAATAAGAGGTTTTTTTGGGGGGGGGAGAGATCGCGTGAAATATAAATGCGTCGTCAAACCCGCCACCGCCACCCGACGCAGCCAATCAGCAAGGGTTTGTGTCACGTACACAAAACGTTCCAATCAGTCACTAGTTGGAGAGCAAACCCACTGCCACATTTACAGTTCGAGTACGGCATTTCCGCCCGTAATTACAACCAGCCTCGTCAGGTGACAGCCGGAGTTGTGGAAATATCCTCCTGTTTCGTTCCTAACGAATTGGCATGTTCTGGCTGTTGCCTGATGAAGCTGGTTGTGGTTACTGGCGAAACGTCGTTACTCAGATTGTAAATGTTGTGGCTTGGCTCTCCAACGCACCGGTGTTGCTGTACTAGTGACAGAGTGTATAGTGTAGTGTATAGTGTAGTGTATAGTGTAGTGTATAGTGTAGTGTATAGTGTAGTGTATAGTGTAGTGTATAGTAGTGTAGTGTGTAGTGTAGTATATAGTAGTGTATAGTGTAGTGTATAGTGTAGTGTATAGTGTAGTGTATACTAGTGTATAGTAGTGTAGTGTGTAGTGTATAGTGTAGTGTATAGTGTAGTGTATAGTTGTGTATAGTGTAGTGTATAGTGTAGTGTATAGTGTAGTGTATAGTGTGTAGTGTATAGTGTAGTGTATAGTAGTGTATAGTGTAGTGTATAGTGTAGTGTATAGTGTAGTGTATAGTGTAGTGTATAGTAGTGTATAGTAGTGTAGTGTGTAGTGTAGTATATAGTAGTGTATAGTGTAGTGTATAGTGTAGTGTATAGTGTAGGGTATAGTAGTGTATAGTAGTGTAGTGCATAGTGTAGTGTATAGTAGTGTATAGTGTAGTGTATAGTGTAGTGTATAGTGTAGTGTATACTAGTGTATAGTAGTGTAGTGTGTAGTGTATAGTGTAGTGTATAGTGTAGTGTATAGTTGTGTATAGTGTAGTGTATAGTGTAGTGTATAGTGTAGTGTATAGTAGTGTAGTGTGTAGTGTATAGTGTAGTGTATAGTAGTGTATAGTGTAGTGTATAGTGTAGTGTATAGTGTAGTGTATAGTAGTGTATAGTAGTGTAGTGTAGTGTATAGTGTAGTGTATAGTTGTGTATAGTGTAGTGTATAGTAGTGTAGTGTATAGTGTAATAGTGTAGTGTATAGTAGTGTAGTGTATAGTGTAGTGTATAGTAGTGTAGTGTATAGTGTAGTGTATAGTAGTGTAGTGTATAGTGTAATAGTGTAGTGTATAGTGTAGTGTATAGTAGTGTAGTGTATAGTAGTGTAGTGTATAGTTTCATAGTGTAGTATATAGTGTAGTGTATAGTCGTGTAGTGTATAGTGTAGTGTATAGTGTACTAGTACAGCACATCGGTGTGTTGGAGAGCCAAGCCACAACATTCACAATCTGAGTACGACGTTTCGCCAGTGATTACAAGCAGCTTCATCAGGTAACAGCCTGATGAAGCACCGGTGTGCTGTACCAGTAACGAATTGGCCACGTTCTGTTTACGTGACAAAACCTTACTCACTGGCTGTGTCGGGAGGTGGCGGGTTTAACGACACATTTATATATTTATGCGGCCTAACCCAAAACAACATGTTTCGGGTCTTAAAAAGATATACTGCCGTGACCTAACCCCCCCCCCCCCGCAAACAAAAAATAATAACCTCCATTATAGATAATATCGGTCGCGAAAGCCTGCCACTGCGTTTTAAACTGAATTATCGTTTGCAGCCTGAGCGTACGGACGGGCCCCATAGGAGTAATCTACAGGATCATTACCAGGCCTGCCACGGCACGGACAACCGCTATTTGCCTGTCCCCAAGCACCCCCAATTCGTGGTTATATATTGTGTAAACACTAATGAAGGCCGAAATTAATTGAGCTTTCGCTCCGATAATTTGGAGGTGGGGGGGGGGGCGGCGGTGGGAGGCGGGCAAGCGGGCGGGCGGGGGGTGGGGTGGCCCTCACCGATGCGAGCGAGAGTTACGGCCCTCGGCTGACGGTAGGAATTGTGGGTAGCCAGGGAGACAGAGAGAGAAGAGAGGTGGCGTGGGGAGGCGGGGGGGGGGGCGGCATCATGAGTGAATTTACCATCGCTCTCTCGCGTCCACGCTCAGCCTCCAATTAAGGTGTAATGAATGGGGGGGGGGGTGGGAGGAGAGGAGGGAGCGGTGGTGGGGGGGGGTGGGGGAGGCGGCATTCGAGCAGAGGCTTAATGAGAGGCAAATCAAACCTGAGAGAGGTTTACACAGAGAATGAGGCACTGTGTGTTTACATGCACGCCGAGTGAACCCAAAGATCCCCCTCGTAGCCTCTTAACAGGCAGCCGGAGCAAGTGCTGTTAGCGAGCACCTATTACGGTCGGTAAGGCGCACGACGGGGGTGGGTGGCCAGCACCGCGCACCGGCCGCCTTTGTCTCCCCAGGTAGTCATTTGAGGCTGAGTCGACCTAGGGGAGGCTCAGGACCGGTTCAGATAATCGTCACTGGCGGTGTTGGCCGCGAGCGGGAATCGAACTCGCGTCGCCGGGTTCGTAGAGCTGCACACTAACCACTGCGCCACCGCTCCCCACACTCCTACCACAACAACAACAACCGCCGTTCGCCACTAAGTGGCGGCGACGTCACCACGGCGCTTGTGCCAGGCCATGTGCACGTTGAGGCCACGTGAAGTTTCAAACGCCCGCCGGCAGGAGGTCACGGGGCAGACCCAGCAGGTGCCACGGGTCGGCTGACTGAGATGAGTGGCCGATGCGCCACCTGTGCCCGCTACAGCGCTCCGCTCGTTGTTGTGAGCGTCGCTCCTCTGCCCCCTGTTGCTGTTGGAGGGCGACTGCCTTCAACTGCCCAGTAGTGGCAGCGTCCTTTACGAGCCTCCTAAACAGCGGCTGATCCTGATACCGCTGGTATCGTCGGCAATCCCACTCAGCTCCGCATCCTCCTGTACCGCACCAGTCAATATCTTCTCCAACCCGCGGCGTGCCCGTTTCGCCCCCTCGATCCGGCCGAACAAAAGCTGGTTAGGCAGGCGGTGGCTGGGCATGCGGGCTACATGACCCAGCCAACGCAGCCCTGCCTGCCGGAAGAGCTCACCAATGGGACCTTGCCCAGATCTTTCAAGGATTTGTGAGCTCCTCACACAATCCAGCCTGGTTAAACCCACGATGGATAGTAGGCAGGCCAGCCTAAATGTTTCTAACCGGCGCAGATGTTCCATTAGAGGGGTCCACGTTCCAAAAGCATAGAGAAGGGAAGGCATGACTGTGGCCGAGAAGACCCGAATCTTCGTGCGGAGCGACAGACCAGGTGGCTTCCACACAGCATTGCGCATCCGATGAAAAGATATTGCCGCTCGACTGATTCGGAGTGGGTTCTCTGCTGTCAAACCGGAGCCAGTCATAAGCAGACTGTCCAGGTATGGAAAACTCTCCACTCTCTCCATAACTGCTCCATCACCAATGGGGAGCTGAGGGGGTGGAGTGTTTGGTGGCACAAAATACCGAGGCAGGGGGTAAATTTAGGTGGGGCACACTCCAGGTTCAGCAGCAGATCCTCCAACTGCCACACACATGCACACACACACACTGCTGCCACACACACACACTGCACACACACACACTGCTGATACACACTGCTGACACACAAGCGCACATACACACTGCTGCCACACACACGCGTACACACACACACACTACTGCCACACACACACACTGCTGCCACACACTGCACACACACACACACTGCTGCCACACACACGCGTACAAACACACGCTGCACACACACACACACACTGCTGATACACACAAGCGCACATACACACTGCTGACACACACACGCGTAAAACAACACACACACTGCTGCCACACACACACACTGCACACACACACACTGCTGACACACACACGCGTACACACACACACACTGCTGACACACACACACACACTGCTGACACACACACAAGCGCACACACACACACTGCACATACACACACTGCTGCCACACACACACTGCACACACACACACTGCTGATACACACTGCTGACACACACACAAACGCACATACACACTGCTGCCACACACATGCATACACAGACACACTGCTGCCACACACACACACACTGCTGACACACACACACACACACTGCTGCCACACACACACACACTGCTGCCACACACACACACACACTGCTGACACACACACACACACACTGCTGCCACACACACACACACTGCTGCCACACACACACACTGCTGCCACACACACACACTGCTGACACACACTGCACACACACACTGCACACACACACACTGCTGACACACACACACACACACTGCTGACACAAAGACAAAGATCCCCCATATAGCCTTACCAGACTGTAGGGGCAAGTGCTGTTAGCGAGCACCTATGAAGGCCGGAACGGTACACGAGGGGGTGGGTGGCCAGCACCACGCCCGACCGCCTTAGTCTCCCCAATGGCGATGTTTACACACCGTACCAGGTACTCATTTGAGGCTGAGTCGACCTAGGGGAGGCCCGGGACCGGTTCAGATAATCGTCACTGGTGTTGGCCATGAGCGGGAATCGAACCCGGGTCGCCAGGTTCATAGCGCAGCGCGCTAACCGCTACACCACCGCTCCCCACACACACAAGCACACACACACACGCTACTGCATGTGGCGCGCGACGACATACATCTCCGTGACGACTCCGAGCAGCTCTTCCCGCAGCTCCGTGTGCTCCAGGTAGCAGGGCAGCTTCTTGTCGACCTCCAGACCCTCCACCTCCTCCGCATCCACCTCGTCCACGTCCACCTCTTCGTCCTGCTGCCGCTCTCGCGTCTCCGTCAGGAAGACGTCGCCGTTGTCGTCGTGCCAGGGGTCTCGGCGTTCCGGACTCGAGCCTGTGACGGACGATGCACACAAAGGAGGAAGATCCCCCGGAGAGCCTCAAGATTTTTTTTTTTTTCAGAGCAGAGGCTATGAGCAGCACTTATGAAGGCTCGGCATGGTACACGTCACGCATGGGTTCGTCTGCAGCACCACGCCCGGCCGCCTTTGTCTCCCCAGTGGCGATGTTTGCACATCACACCAGGTACTCATTTGAGGCTGCGTCGACCTAGTGGGAGGCCCAGGACCGGTTCAGATTGATAGTCGTCACTGGCGTTGCCCGTGAGCGGGAATCGAACTCGGCCCGCCGACTTTGTAGGTTGGGCGGGCGCTGACCACCACACTTACCGCACCAACAACAACAACAACAACGGCCGCCATTCGCCACTAAGCGGCGCTGACATCACCACAGCGCCTGTGCCAGGCCAGGTGCACTTTGAGGCCACGTGAAGTGAAGTGTCGAAGGCCCCCTGCTGACAGGAGGTTCTCGGGACAGATCCAGCAGCCGCTAATGGGTTGACCGATTTAAGACGACTGCCGGAAGCGCCGACTGTAACCCCCCGGCAGGGCCGTCATCGGCGGGGGGGGGGGAAAAGTCGGAAGAGCGTCTGCGGAAAACACTCACCCTTGTCGCGGTCCGGCAGCGATCCGCGCTCGCGCGTAGCGTCGGCCGCTGCCACGCCGCCGCGCTGGGGGACACAGGAGCCGCAAACTGTTCACCCGCTCGGGGCGCGTCGGATCAGCGCTGTCGGCTACGCGCGGCGCGACAGACGTTCAACGTACGTACGTACGTACGTGGTGGCGAGACACTTTGCGTTGGTGTGTGTGTTCAGTTTGTTGTCCTTAACCCCCCCGCGCGCACCTCCGATTGGCACGGTTGGCTACGTACGGTGCGAAAGAAGTTCGACGTACATTCATTCATCCCCTCCGTTGAAAGGATAAAACGCGGCAATACCTCGATATGGGAAGTCGGAGCTTCGTTCGCATATCGAGAGATCGTATGTCGAACAGCTTATGACATTGGTCCAATGGGGATGCGTTCCCAGCCTTCGTAGCGTACCTTTTCACACTATAGACGCTTCACAACTTGCCATTCGTGGTGTACGCAGAGACAATTTATATTGAGAATGACGTATTTTATATTGCACAGTATTGAGCTTCCATAACAGAGGTTTTTGGGCATAGATCACGTAAATATAAATGTGTTGTTAAACCCGCCACCACCTGAAACGGCCAATTAGTTTACGTGACAAACCTCACTAATTGGCTGTGGCGGGTGGTGGAGGGTTTAACGACACATTTATATATTTACGCGATCTAACCCACAAAAAAAAACCTATATTATGGACAACATGATCCCTTGTAAAAATAAAAAGGTATCAAGTTTTGTTGCCAGATAAAAAGGGTAAAAAGAAAACTATTATTATATTTTGCTACTGGCAAAGGAGGTCTCACGATGTAAATGCTTGCCCCGAGCTCTCAGCACTCTGATGGTGCGTTGTCTTTGAGTTGTGCGCCTTTTGGCGTCATCTGGTCCAACACCAACGTGAGACTCTGGGCTCCAAGAAAAAGCTGTCCCGGGTGTGGACCAATCAACTTCAAGGACAATGCAGAACATTATCAGAGTTTTTGATTTAAAGCTTTCGTGACTGCAGTAATTCATATTCTTAGTTTTTTCGGTAAAGTCACGTTGAAGGGAAACAACAAAATAATAAAATATATATAAAACACAATAAAAAATTCTCACGACGTTTCGACCATAACTCAAACGGTCATCTTCAGGTGTGTTGGTTTGCATAAATTTATTTTTATAAATAAATGCGCCGTGTAAATAAATGCGCCGTTTAAAAATAAATTTATGCAAACCAACACACCTGAAGATGACCGTTTGAGTTATGGTCGAAACGTCGTGAGAATTTTTTATTGTTTTATATATTTTATTATTTTGTTGTTTCTCTTCAACGTGACTTTACCGAAAAAACTAAGAATATTATCAGAGTTGTTTTTTTGTTTGCATTCTGACCTGCAGGTATTGTTGTTAAAGCAAACATGATCAATTTTGTTGCCAGATAAAAGGGTAAAAAAACAACTATTATTATGGACAACATTGTTCGCGAAAGCCTGCTGCTGCTACTAGGTGTTAAACAGAATTTTTTAAAAACAACTGGACATGGCACAGACTCTGCAAGCGCACGCGGTGCTCTGAACCGGCCAACAATGGCAGAGTTACAAATCAATTACATCACCGGTTTACAAAAAAACAGCAGCAGCAAGCTGACAGAGGCAGTCTATCAAGGGAGCATCGATTGTGTTGGGGATTCAACCGTCGCAAAAAAAAAGCAGCGTTCGGGACAATTGAGGTGCGCGCCCGAACGCGGGCACGCGGTGCAAAAGAAGTTCAACGTACAAACATACATACTGCACATAGACTAACACTGCCCATAGAGTAACACTGCCCATAGAGTAGCACTGCCCATAGAGTAACACTACTCAAAGACTAACGCTACCCATAGACTAACACTGCCCATAGACTAACACTGCCCATAGAGTAACACTACCCATAGACTAACACTGCCCATAGAGTAACATTACCCATAGACTAACACTACCCATAGACTAACACTGCCCATAGACTCAACTCTACCCATAGAGTAACACTGCCCATAGACTAACACTACCCATAGACTAACACTGCCCGTAGACTCAACAATGCCCATAGACTAATACTACTCATAGACTAACACTGCCCATAGACTCAACACTACCCATAGAGTAACACTGCCCATAGACTAACACTACCCATAGACTAACACTGCCCGTAAACTCGACAATGCCCATAGACTAACACTACTCATAGACTAACACTGCCCATAGACTAACACTACCCATAGACTAACACTGCCCATAGACTCAACACTACCCATAGACTCAACACTGCCCATAGAGTAACTGCCCATAGACTCAACACTGCCCATAGACTCAACACTGCCCATAGACTAACACTACCCATAGACTCAACACTGCCCATAGACTCAACACCGCACCATAGACTCAACACTGCACCATAGACTCAACACTGCCCATAGACTCAACACTGCCCATAGACTCAACACTGCCCATAGACTCAACACTGCCCATAGACTCAACACTGCACATAGACTAACACATTGCAATTGTAAATCGCCACTGCCGTTCGGATGAGTGGGTGGGCGAGCGAGCAGGCGGGCGGGCGCGCGGGCGGGCAGGCAGGCGCGTGGGCGGGCGAGAGGTCGGATGATTGGGTGCGCGAGTGGGTGGACGAGTGATCAGGTGAGCGGGTTGCTCACCCACTGCCGACTCTTGAAGTACTCCTGCACAGCGAGGACGTACGATTCCACCTCTTTGGCCACGGACGCCGGGTAGCCATCCACTATTGCCACCTGCTGGCCATGGAACTCCTCGTACCTGCGGCGCAAAAGGCAGCTCAGCGGTGCTCGCTGATTTTTGTTATGGCTGAGTCAATGCAAACTCCAAATATACAGCAGCAGGCGTCAGGGTCAAGATCGATCCCACGACCTCCTGTACACCGGGCGAGGTAGTTAACATCTCCTAGCAACCGTGATAATGATGAGAGAGAGACATGCAAACTCCAAATATACAGCAGCAGGCGTCAGGGTCGAGATCGATCCCACGACCTCCTGCACACCGGGCGAGGTAGTTAACATCTCCTAGACACCGTGATGATGATGAGAGAGAGAGACACGCAAACTCCAAATATACAGCAGGCGTCTGGGTCGGAATCGAACCCACGACTTCCGGCATACCGGGCGAGGACGTCAACATCTCGCCGCTCCACTCACTGCCGTCGATCAATCGATGGGCGCTCTCTTCGTTCGAGACCACCGGCTCGCCACGCTTGAGAGGCCCCATTTGGACCCTGGGCGGCTGCTGCCCTTTAACCCCTCAACGCCACCCAAATCGGGTCAGAAAGCGCCAACGCTTCAGCTCCCCCAGGATCGAGGCAACATGTAGCAGCGGGCAGGCTGCGCTTGCTACCACTGTTGCTTAATCCTCACTGAGTGATTTTTCAGCAGTGGGATGTTTTATATGGGGGCCGGTGGGTTCTTTATTTTTGCTATGGTAGGATAATGGAGGAAACCCACAAACGCCACACGCACACTCTCACCCACACACTCACACCACACCCCCCTACACACTCACTCATCCTCTCACCCACACACTCACACCACACACTCACTCACACTTTCACCCACACACTCACCCACACACTCACACCACACACTCACTCACACACTCACACCACACCCCCCCCCCACACACTCACTCACCCTTTCACCCACACACTCACACTACACACTCACTCACACTCTCACCCACAGACTCACACTCGCATCCACATACTCACACCACACACTCACTCACACTCTCACCTACACACTCACACTTTCACCCACACACTCACCCACACACTCACGCACACTCTCACCTACACACTCACACCACACACTCACGCACACTCTCACACACACACTCACACCACACCCCCCCACACACTCACTCACCCTCTCACCCACACACTCACACCACACACTCACTCACACTCTCACCCACACACTCACACCACACACTCACTCACACACTCACACCACACCCCCCCCCACACACTCACTCACCCTTTCACCCACACACTCACACTACACACTCACTCACACTCTCACCAACACACTCACACCACACACTCAAGCACACTCTCACCCACACACTTACACCACACCTCGCCATTCACTCACTCACCCTCTCACCCACACACTCACACCACACACTCAATCAAACTCACTCACCCTCTCACCCACACACTCACTCACCCTCTCACCCACACACTCACTCCACACACTCGATGTTTACGCATCGCTCCAGGTACTCATTTGAGGCTGAGTCGACACACACCGCACACCCACAAACGTTCTCACACTCTGCAGAACAGAACGGAGAACACACAAACTCCACACACTCACTCACACCACACATGCACTTTCACTCTGTAGAACAAGGAGAGAGAGAACATACAAACTCCACTCACTCACGCTCCACACCACACATCCACACACTCACTCTCACTCTGCAGAACAGGGAGAGAGAACACACAAACTCCACACCATCACACATACCACACACTCTCACTCACACTACACGCACACATACTCACTCACACGCTCACCCACACCACAAACTCCACACCCTCACACCACACACTCACCACACTCTCACTCTCACTACACACCACACACTCACACTCTCACCCACACCACAAACTCCACACCCTGACACCACACACTCACCACACTCTCACTCACACCACAAACTCCACACCCTGACACCACACACTCACTCACACTCTCACTCACACTACACACCACACACTCACACTCTCACCCACACCACAAACTCCACACCCTGACACCACACACTCACCACACTCTCACTCATACTACACACCACACACTCACACTCTCACTCACACCACAAACTCCACACCCTGACACCACACACTCACTCACACTCTCCCTCACACTACACACCACACACTCACACTCTCACTCACACCATAAACTCTACACTCTCACACCACACACTCACCACACTCTCACTCTCACTACACACCACACACTCACACTCTCACCCACACCACAAACTCCACACCCTGACACCACACACTCACTCACACTCTCACCCAAACCACAAACTCCACACCCTGACACCACACACTCACTCACACTCTCACTCACACTACACACCACACACTCACACTCTCACCCACACCACTAACTCCACACCCTGACACCACACACTCACCCACACTCTCACTCACACCACAAACTCCACACCCCCACACCACACACTCACCACACTCTCACTCACACTACACACCACACACTCACACTCTCACCCACACCACAAACTCCACACCCTGACACCACACACTCACTCACACTCTCACTCACACCACAAACTCCACACCCTCACACCACACACTCACCACACTACACACCACACACTCACAATCTCACCCACACCACAAACTCCACACCCTGACACCACACACTTACTAACACTCTCACACTAAATGCCCACACACTCTCACCCACACCACAAACTCCACACCCTGACACCACACACTCACCTAACACTCTCACTCACACTACACGCCCTCACTCACACCACACACTCACTTGCACTCTGCAGAACAGGGGCGGGAGGAACACACAAACTCCACTCACACCACACACAACAATGTCCGCCATTCGCCACTAAATGGCAGTGACGTCGCCAGGTGCACTTTGAGGCCACGTGAAGTGTCGAACGCCCGCTGACAGTAGCTCAACTACAGACCCAGGTGCCACGGGTCGACTGACAGAGGTGACCGGCAGATGCACCACCCGTGCCCGCTACTGTGCCAACCGGCTGCGCTTTAGCCAATCCGGCGCTCCGCTCGTTGTTGTGAACGTCGCTCCTCCGCCCTCCGCTGTAGCCTGAGGGCGACTGCCTCCACATTTCCCAGCAGGCAGCGTCCTTCACGAGCCGCCTCCCACCGCACACTCAACACTGACTCTCACTGCAGAACAGGGGGTAGGAGAGGACCTCCAAACTGCACATAGAGAGGGCACCCGGGTCATGGAATCAAACCCGGTCCCTTGCTGCTGCGAGGAGGGCACGACCATCACCACCGCGCGGCAGCGTCGAACAACGCCGTGACCGTATTCTTGGTTCTTTCGGTAAAGGCACGTAGAAGGGAAACAATAAAATTCATTAAATACAATTCTCACGACGTTTCGACTGCAAACAACAAGCAATCATCATCAGGTGTGAGAACCACAGCAAGAAAATGTTATTGCTGCAGTCAAAACGTCGTGAGAGTTTTATTGTTTTATATGTTTTATTATTTGATTGTTTCCCTTCTACGCGGTGACTTTGCCGAAAGAACCAAGAATATTAATCCCCGCAGTCACGGAAGCTTTAAATCAAGACCCTATGACCCTTACCCCGACTTGATGGAGTCCAGCTTGCTGAGGGCTCTCTGCAGGCTGGACTCCAACGCCTGCTCAGAGCTCTCCTGTCTCAGCTGATCCATCAGCAGGTCCAGACTCGCCTCCTTCGCCTAACGTGGAGGGCGGGGGAGACACATTTCGTGGTGAATACGAATGAACAACGGTGACGAAGCTTTCCTTGAAGGAGCCACAGGTTGCCCGAACCACCCCCCCCCCCCCTGCCCACGGTGAACTGGACTTCCGTGGTCAGTGGGGGGGTCGGCAACCAAGATGACAAAAAAACACCAAAATAAATTCTCGAATTTCGCAGTCCCTAAAAGTGCCACCGCACGCGGCTCCAGAGACGCAGGTTGACGACCACCCCCCCCCACCCCCCCCCCCCCACCCCCCCCCGCTGGGATTAGTGTGGTTATGGATCGGAACAGCAAATAGCCAGCAGGGGGGGAGGGGGGGGGTTACCACCCCCGGTGTAAGGATCCCCATGGCACTGGCTCAGAGACGACGATGAGAATGACGATGATGCAGACAGCGGGGCGGAGAGGTGATGGGGGCGGGGTGGAGAGGTGAAGGGTGGAGAGGTGATGGGGGAGGGGTGGAGAGGTGAAGGGAGAGGGGTGGAGAGGTGATGGGGGAGGGGTGGAGAGGTGATGGGGGAGGGGTGGAGAGGTGATGGGGGTGGAGTGGAGAGGTGATGGGAGAGGGGTGGAGAGGTGAAGGGAGAGGGGTGGAGAGGTGAAGGGAGAGGGGTGGAGAGGTGAAGGGAGAGGGGTGGAGAGGTGATGGGGGCGGGGTGGAGAGGTGATGGGGGTGGGGTGGAAAGGTGATGGGTGGAGAGGTGTAGGGAGAGGGGTGGAGAGGTGATGGGGGAGGGGTGGAGAGGTGATGGGGGCGGGGTGGAGAGGTGATGGGGGTGGGGTGGAGAGGTGATGGGGGTGGGGTGGAGAGGTGATGGGGGTGGGGTGGAGAGGTGATGGGTGGAGAGGTGATGGGGGAGGGGTGGAGAGGTGATGGGGGAGGGGTGAAGGGAGAGGGGTGGAGAGGTGATGGGGGCGGGGTGGAGAGGTGATGGGGGAGGGGTGAAGGGAGAGGGGTGGAGAGGTGATGGGGGCGGGGTGGAGAGGTGATGGGGGAGGGGTGAAGGGAGAGGGGTGGAGAGGTGATGGGGGAGGGGTGAAGGGAGAGGGGTGGAGAGGTGATGGGATTGAGGTGGAGAGGTGATGGGATTGGGGTGGAGAGGTGATGGGATTGGGGTGGAGAGGTGATGGGATTGGGGTGGAGAGGTGATGGGTGGAGAGGTGATGGGTGTGGGGTGGAGAGGTGATGGGGGCGGGGTGGAGAGGTGATGGGGGAGGGGTGAAGAGGTGATGGGGGCGGTGGCGGAGGAACAGAGCCGGGAGAATGCAAACAAACGACGCCAACATAGCGGCTGCGGTTAGGCCAGGGGGGCGGGGGGGGGGTCGGCAACAAAAATAAGAAGACATTTATTTAATTCCAGAGCCCGCAATGCGTTGTGGTGAATACGGGACAGCGGTGGCTCCTTCATGAACAACGATCACGGAGTGGCCCTGCAGGAGCCGCAGGTTGCCGGGACCCCCACCCCCCCCCCCCAACCCCTGCCCATGGTGAACTGGACCTCCGTGGTCAGGGCTCGGCAAACCGAGATACCGAGAAGAGCCGTTCGTTTATTTTTGCTCGAAAACTCGAACACGATGCATCGTGAATACGCGACGGCGGCCGTGGGGCCCTTCAATAAACCACGTGGCCGTGGCAGCTGCCCCCGAAGAGCCGCGCGCTGCCATGGATCGTCGGCACCCCCCCCCCCCCCTTCCCCGACGTTGGTAGGGGAGGGGGAGGGGGTCACCACCGCATCCACCGCCTCCACCGCCACCCAGCTATCAGATCCAACAGCCAGGGCCTCCGTTCCAAACCGCGAGCCGCTCGGGATGACGCTCGGGCACTTCGCGTTCGTGCCGCTTGCCTCGGCCGTCGCGAGGGCACACGGAGGCGGACGACGACACCGGAGGCCTAGGGCACAACGTGCAAAGCCCGTGCTCAACCGAGGCTTCGGCAATCATGCGCACCTAGCAGTGCCATGGCCACGAATGCATTCCTCGCTAGATTCAAATGCCCCGCGTTCAACGTCAAAGAGTTTGCGACTCCTGGAGATTCCCACGCTCTTGCTGGCCCGGCCCCGCCACCACCCCACCCCCCCCGACCGTGCGCCCGGCGTGTGGGACGAGGCCCACCTGATTGGCCATGTCGTGCTCCCTGCGCGACGCCTCCATCCTGTCCCGGAGCCGCCCATCCCGCCGCGCCAGCTCCTCCGCGTGGCGCTCCCACAGCCGCGCGGCCCCCCGGGCGAAGGCGGCGAGCTGGCGGCTCAGCGACGCCGCGCGGCGGGCCTGCCGCTCCAGCGCGGCCTGAGCGGGGACGCACGCGGCGACGGTGACGGCGGCGATGACGGTGGCGATGACGATGATGATGGCGACGACGACGACGATAACGACGATGATGGCGACGACGACGATGACGACGACGATGATGGCGACGACGACGATGATGGCGACGACGACGATGATGGCGACGACGACGATGATGACGACGGTGATGACGATGATGACGACGACGATGATGATGGCGACGACGATGATGATGGCAACGACGACGACGATAACGACGATGATGGCGACGACGACGATGACGACGACGATGATGGCGACGACGACGATGATGGCGACAACGACGATGATGACGACGGTGATGATGATGATGACGACGGTGATGACGATGATGACGACGACGATGATGATGGCGACGACGATGATGGCGACGACGATGATGATGGTGATGACAACAATGATGGCGACGACGATGATGATGGCGACGATGATGACGATGATGGCGACGACGATGACGATGATGGCGACGACGATGATGATGGCGACGACGACGATGATGGCGACGACGACGATGATGACAACGGTGATGACGATGATGACAACGACGATGATGATGGCGACGACGATGATGGCGACGACGATGATGATGGTGATGACAACAATGATGGCGACGACGATGATGATGGCGACGATGATGACGATGATGGCGACGACGATGATGATGGCGACGACGACGATGATGGTGATGACAACAATGATGGCGACGACGATGATGATGGCGACGATGATGACGATGATGGCGACGACGATGATGATGGCGACGACGATGATGATGGTGATGACAACAATGATGGCGACGACGATGATGATGGCGACGATGATGACGATGATGGCGACGACGATGACGATGATGGCGACGACGATGATGATGGCGACGACGACGATGATGGCGACGACGACGATGATGACGACGGTGATGACGATGATGACGACGACGATGATGATGGCGACGACGATGATGGCGACGACGATGATGATGGTGATGACAACAATGATGGCGACGACGATGATGATGGCGACGACGATGATGATGATGGCGACGACGACGATGATGACGACGGTGATGACAATGATGATGGCCACGACGACGATGATGGCGACGACGACGACGATGATGATGATGATTGCGATGACAACAATGATGGTGACGACGACGATGATGACGATGACGACGATGATGGCGACGACGATGATGATGGCGACGACGATGATGATGGCGACGACGATGATGATGATGGCGACGACGACGATGATGACGACGGTGATGATGATGGCGACAACAATGATGACGATGACGAAGATGATGACGACGGTGATGACGACGATGATGGCGACGACGACGACGATGATGATGATGATTGCGATGACAACAATGATGGTGACGACGACGATGATGACGATGACGACGATGATGGCGACGACGATGATGATGGCGACGACGATGATGATGGCGACGACGATGATGATGATGGCGACGACGACGATGATGACGACGGTGATGATGATGGCGACGACGATGATGGCGACGATGATGATGATGGTGATGACAACAATGATGGCGACGACGATGATGATGATGATGATGGTGATGACAATGATGGCGACAACGATGATGATGATGGCGACGACGACGATGATGGCGACGACGATGATGATGGCGAAGACGAGGATGATGGCGACGACGATGATGATGATGATGGCGACGACGACGATGATGACGACGGTGATGACGATGATGATGGCGACTATGATGACGACGACGACAATGATGGCGATGACAACAATGATGGCGACGACGACGATAATGACGACGACGATGATGATGATGGCGATGACAAGGACAACAATGCTGATGGCAATAATGATGATGACAATGATGATGACAATGATGATGATGACAATGATAATAATGATGATGGTGATGACGACAATGACGATGATGGCGATGATGACAATGATGATGATGACGACGATGACGACGATGATGATGGCGACGACAACAATGATGACGATGACGAAGATGATGACGACGGTGATGACGATGATGATGGCGACAATGATGACGACGACGACGATGATGGCGACGACGATGATGATGATGGCGATGACAAGGACAGCAATGATGATGGCAATGATGATGATGATGACAATGATGATGACAATGATGATGATGACAATGATAATAATGATGATGGTGATGACGACAATGACGATGATGGCGATGATGACAATGATGATGATGATGACGACGATGACGACGATGATGGCGATGACGACGACAATGATGACGGCGATGACAAGGATGATGATGACGACAATCACGATGATAGCGATGACAATGACGATAACGGTGACGACAATGATGATGATGCAGATGACAATGACGACAACGATGACGATGACGATGATGATAATGGCGATGACGACGACGATGCCGACGACAATGGCACGCATGCACCCCGCAATGGCGGTTCGAATGAAGCTCGAGAGAGCACAAACGAAACGGAGAATACACAAATCAAGCACGCACGAGTGCCCAGCACGGCGTGTGACAACATCCGCGCCGGGCAGACAAAGGGGCCGTCCATAAATGACGTCACGCGATTTGGGACGATTTTTTTTACCCCCCCCCCCGCCACCTCGTCACACGGCGTCACAAAAAGTCAGACCCCCCCCCCTTAAATATGACGTCACAAAGCTCTGCCACCCCCCCCCCCCTCCCCTCCCAAAACCATATTTCCATTTTGAAAATAAAACACGCTTCGCAAATCGCTTTAAACTATTGTCATTGTAGTGCGTATTTAATGTGGCGGCGCTGCACTCTGATGTTGTAGGAGTGTTGTTATAACAGTCAGTGTTGTTATAACAATTCTGTATTTATTGAAAGTTGCGCATTTTGATGTGACGTCACGTTTCTCAAACCCCCCCCGCCCCCCTCTTCACACATCGTCACAAATGTCTGACCCCCCCCCACCCCCCCCCCCCCCAGGTGCGTGACGTCATTTATGGAAGGCCTCAAAGGCGCCTGTGCCGGCCTTCATAGGTGCTCGCTAACGGCACTCGCCCGCCCCGGCGGTCCGTTGGAAGGCTACGCGTCCCGGGGGAACCTCTGTCCTCGTTCGGCCGCACCTCCACGGAGGCGAGCTCCTCCTCGTGGGCCCTCTGGCGCTCCCCCACCAGCGGCAGCAGGTGATGCCGCGCCAGCTCCCAGGCCTCCTCCTCGCCCGCGCAGACGCCGCTCGTCGCCAGATCGAGCTGCACGCACGCGCAGGAAGTCACCACACGGCAGGCGGCACTCGCACCAGCGCTGCGGTGAGCGCCCTTGGCCCTCCGCTGCGGCGGGCAGTGGTTGGTGGCCGTGACCACTCCGCCAACCAAACGGCAGACCGAGCCACACCGCCAACCAAACGGCAGACGAGCCACACCGCCAACCAAACGGCAGACCGAGCCACACCGCCACCCAAACGGCAGACCGGCCACACCGCCAACCAAACGGCAGACCGAGCCACACCGCCACCCAAATGGCAGATCGGCCACACCGCCAACTAAAACAGAGGGGCAGTCACACCGTCAACGAAACAGGGGAGCGGCCACACCGCCAACTAAACAGGGGAGTGGCGACACCATCAACTAAACAGAGGGGCGGCCACACCGTCAACTAAACAGGGGAGCGGCCACACCGTCAACTAAACAGGGGAGCGGCCACACCGTCAACTAAACAGAGGGGCGGTCACACCATCAACTAAACAGGGGGGGCGGCCACACCGTCAACGAAACAGGGGAGCGGCCACACCGCCAACTAAACAGGGGAGCGGCCACACCGTCAACTAAACAGGGGAGTGGCGACACCATCAACTAAACAGAGGGGCGGCCACACCGTCAACTAAACAGGGGAGCGGCCACACCGTCAACTAAACAGGGGAGCGGTCATACCGTCAACTAAACAGAGGGGCGGTCACACCGTCAACTAAACAGAGGGGCGGCCACACCGTCAACGAAACAGGGGGGCGGCCACACCGCCAACTAAACAGAGGGGCGGTCACACCATCAACTAAACAGGGGATCGGCCACACCGCCAACTAAACAGGGGAGCGGCCACACCGTCAACTAAACAGGGGAGCGGCCACACCGCCAACTAAACAGAGGGGCGGCCACAACGTCAACTAAACAGAGGGGCGGTCACACCGTCAACTAAACAGAGGGGCGGTCACACCGTCAACGAAACAGGGTCTGCCACATCGTCAACGAAACAGGGTTCGACCACACCGCCAACTAAACAGAGGGGCGGCCACACCGTCAACGAAACAGGGGGCCAGCCACACCGCCAACTAAACAGGGGCGGCCACACCGCCGACTAAACAGAGGGGCGGTCACACCGTCAACTAAACAGAGGGGCGGTCACACCGTCAACGAAACAGGGTCCACCACACCGTCAACGAAACAGGGTTCGGCCACACCGCCAACTAAACAGAGGGGCGGCCACACCGTCAGCGAAACAGGGTTCGGCCACACCGCCAACTAAACAGAGGGGCGGCCACACCGTCAGCGAAACAGGGGTCGGCCACACCGCCGACTGTTGCGACGGCGTTGAAGAGAAAAACCTCTCAGCAGCATCTGCGGCCTGCCCACGTGTCCATCTTAGCTAGCTAGAGTGGCGGAACTTTAACTTCGCTGCTTGCTGGCTGGTGTAGATGCAGAGCAACAACTACAATTTCACGTTCAGTTTGCCACTCATAATGCCAGACTCGCGTGAGAAGAGGACAGAGGAGGACAGAGGAGGAGGAGGAGGGCGGAGGGGTGAGGAAGGAGGAGGAGGAGGAAGGAGAAGAAAGTTTCGAGCAATCTTCAACGGCGCACGCAGGCAGCGGCAGCGTGCAATACGAGCGCAGCCGTGGCCACGTGGAGCTGCGGGGCCCCCCGTGGCCACGTGGAGCTGCGGGCCCCCCCAGGCCACGTGGAGCTGCGGGCCCCCCCAGCCCCCCCTTTACCCGGCATCGCTCCACCTCGTCCAGCTGCCGGCGGAGAGTGACCTCGGACTGGGCGCGCAGCCTCTCCACGTGGCGCACATTCAGCTCGTCTGCCGGTGGGACAGACGAACAGACAGACAGACGAACAGACAGACGAACAGACAGACAGACGAACAGACAGATGAACAGACATACTGACAGACAGACAGACGAACAGATGAACAGACGAACAGATGAACAGACAGACAGACAGACGAACAAACAAACAGACGAACAGATGAACAGACGAACAAACAGACATACAAACAGACAAACAGACGAACAGACAGACAGACAGACGAACAGACAGACAGACAGACGAACAAACAGACAGACAGACATACAGACATACAGACAAACAGACGAACAGACAGACAGACAGACGAACAGACAGACAGACAGACGAACAGACAGACAGACAAACAGACGAATAAACAGACAGACAAACAGACAGACGAACAGACAGACAGACAAATAGACGAACAGACAGACAAAGAGACAGACGAACAGACAGACGAACAGACAGACAAATAGACGAACAGACAGACAAACAGACAGACGAACAGACAGACGAACAGACAGACAAACAGACGAACAGACAGACGCTCGGCGAAACGGGACACCACTCCATCGCCACCACCGCCGCCCGCCACCGACTCTGTTATAACGTGCTACTCTGTTATAACGTGCTACTCTGTTATAATGTGCTACTCTGTTATAACGTGCTACTCTGTTATAACGTGCTACGTTAATGTTGCTGTTGTTATTGTTACGCTTGTTTACCCAGGAAAGCTTCGCTCAGTCTCAAAACTATTTGTACCATTGTATGTATGTTGAAATTCTTTCGCACTGTACGTAGCCAACCGTGCTAATCGGAGGTGCAGTGTTGAGTCAATGGGTAGTGTTTGTCTATGGGTAGTGTTGAGTCTCTGGGCAGTATGTATGCTGAACTTCTTTCGCACCGTATGTAGCCAACCGTGCGAATCAGAGGTGCGGGTCAAGGACAACAACCTTTCGCAGGAGACACCTGCCAAGTTTCCGCAGTGAAGTGGTCGATGTCACCGCTGCTGTGTGTAACCCCAATTGAGTGGACGAGCGACCGAGCGAGCGCGAGAGCGAGCGAGCGGGCTGCATCTTGCGATTCACCAACTCCCGGAACTCCCCAAAGGAACGGCCTAAAAACCCCCCCTTGGGAACTGAATCTGTGACCGCCGCTCTGCGTGGATGCAAACCGCCCCGCCGGGGCTGGCCCGGCTCGGCCCCGCGAGGTTCCTCGTACCGATCTGCCGATTGAGGGCATCCAGGGATGAGCTCCACGCGCTCACCGCCTCCGTGGTGACGCTGGGCGGCTTCAGGTCTCTGTGTGAACGTTGGGTGGTGGCGGGGGAGGGCGTGGGGGGGGCGAAGGAAGAGGAGAGAGAGGCGGATTGTGACGGCTGGGCCATGCCGGGCCATCCGCGAAGAACGACCAGATGGCTGTCAAAGAGAGAGCTTCATAGCACGCCGGATTCCTCCAGTGAAAATCGGGTTAGGGGTCGCTCTAAAGACGTCAAAGGAGTAAAACTCTTACTCTTTGTTTTTTTTTTGTCGGTAAAGTCACGTAGGTAAAATAAAACAAATGAAAACAACTAAATTAAATCACGGCGTTTCGGAGGCAACACAAGCTTCCGTCTTCAGGTGGAACAGTCACAGCAGAATATCTGTGTCAAGTGAACAGCTCTGAGACACCCGTGATTATATACAGGTTAGTGGGGGGGGGGGGAGGAGCCAGGAAGGGACGTGGGTGTGGAGGGGGAGGGGCTAAGTTAAGCCGCCTTTTGTTATGCTGCAGGGGGTTTCGGGGGAAGCGATGGTGCGCTGCACGAGAGCAAGTACAACCCACTGGCAGAAATGGAAACGGCTGTACAATTATAAGGCAGCTAAAGTTTGACTTGGTTGATGACATCTTTCCAATGGTTGCTCAATTTAAAACTCTTCATTGGTTGCGGCCTAACGGGTCTCATCAGCCGAGTAAGACTGCACCGATTAAAACAATCTGCCGTGATGAAAAATCCGTCGCCTTGTTGTGCCTTTTGTCGCTTGCCGTGATGTGAAATTCATCGCTTACATCACGTCGTATGTGATGGGTCTCTACGCGAATCTGTGAGTCTCTATGCGAGTCTATGGGTCTCTGTGTAACTCGGTGGGTCTCTCTTGAGACTTTGTGAGTCTCTGTAAAAGTCTATCGTTCTGTGCGTGAGTTTATCGGTCTTTATGCGAGTCTATGGGTCTCTATGCAAGTGTATTGGTCTCTGTGCAAGTCTGTGGGTCTCTATGCCAGTCTATGGGTCTCTGTGTCGGTCTAACGTGTCTATTTGTTGAGTATATGTCTATCTTTGTAAGTCTATAGTAAGTCGCTGTGTGAGTATAAGGGTCTAGGTTTGAGTCTATATATAATGTGCAACCATCACTCACAACACCAAAGATCCCCCATATAGCCTTAACAGACTGTTGGGACAAGTGCTGTTAGCGAGCACCTATGAAGGCCGGTACAGCACACGAGGGGGTGGGTTGCCGGCAACACGCCCGGCCGCCTTTGTCTCCCCAGTGGCGATGTTTACTACACACCGCACCAGGTACTCATTTGAGGCTGAGTCGACCGAGGGGAGGGCCCAGATAATCGTCACTGACGGTGTTGGTGGCTGTGAGCGGGAATCGAACTCGGGTTGCCGGGTTCATGGCGCGGGAGCGCGCTAACCGCTGCACCGCCGCTCCCCACGCACGACGCTGATCGCTCTTGCGACACGCGAGTTTTTTTTGCCGAAGGTAAAAACCGGGAGCCGTGAACGCGGCCCGTTGCTTTCCCAATCGCGAAGAACCGCGACCCACTCGAGTGAGTTGATCAGCCGGATCCGTCGCTCGTTCAGCTCCCTCTGTCCATCCGTCGTCGCCTGGACGAGAGCGTCCGCCCCAGGTGAACTACGCAGCTGGTGCCGCTCCATGAACTCGCTGAGCAGAAAAAAGGGGGGCACGGGGGGTAGGGGTAGGGCGGGGGGGTTGACATTGCATCGAGCTTCGGGCACGGAGAGACCGCCGCGCGCACGAGTGCTCATTCACCGCAGATTTCTTTTTTTGTTTTAAATCTATCTCGCTTTTTGATAGCGGTGTCTCTGGTAGGGAGAGCAGCGTGGCCCCACAGCAGCAGAGAGCGAGATCCCACAGAAGTGGGCATCACGGAGCAACCGCCGAGGCCCTGTCGAGTGACCTCTGATCCACAGGGCAGAGAGCGGCGGTTCAAAGCAAGGCGGTCGAACTACGCTTGACAAATCGGCCACCAGGTCAAGATCATCAACTCGCGACGCCTTGAGCGTCAGTGGTACCCGCTGAGCGCCACCCCAGGACCACCTTGAAACGAGACTTGGCTTTATTTTCAAGGCAGACCTGCTGTAAACATGTAAATAAATACATTCGCAAAGGAATACGTTTCAAATTTGTAAACAAAAAATGATGCCGACAACACAGTTTGATTGATTCATATTTAGCTCCCTTTTCAAAGGTGCCGTGGTGGTTCGGAGAAGAACCGTCACGATATCGTGAGCTGTGATTCGATTGCGGTGATCGAGTTATTTTTTTCTGTCTGCACGCCTGGTACGCAGGAGGTCGCGGGTACGATCCCGACCCTGACACCTGCTGTATATTTGTAGTTTGCGTGTCTCTCCCTCTCTCTCTCTCTCTCTCCCCGTGGTCGCGTGGATTTTCCCTCCGTATATAGAATCGGCGTGCGTTCAGAGTATTTGGCTGCTATAAATGCCCACACGATGATAAGCCACTTCATCGGGCTATCATTTGCGATAGGCAGGTCGCTTCTGGAAAAGAGCTACATATAGCTCAGTGGGGCCTGCCTGGGAAAATAAAAAGATTAGTTTAGTGTTTTTAAGTTTATAACGTCATTAAGTCCACAATAAAGTTTTTTTTTTTTGCGTTAGATCGCGTAAATATATAAATGTGTCGTTAAGCCCGCCACCACCCGACACAGCACAACTGGTAAGGGTTGTCACGTAAACAGAACGTCGCCAATTCGTCACTAGTACAGCACAGTGGTGCGTTGGAGAGCCAAGCCAACAGCAACACAACCGGTGTGCTGTGCTCGTGACAGATTGGCCACGTGACAACCCTTACCAGTTGTGCTGTGTCGGGTGGTGGCGGGCTTTTAACGACACATTGATATATTGACGCGACCTAACCCGAAAAAAAACCTCTATTACGGACGACATTGGTCGCGGAAGCCTACCACGTGTTCAACTGACGTCATTAAGGATGCACAACAGGCATAGCCACCGCGTGAACCCGCCGCGCCACCTGGCCGCCTCGTTCCCCAGGACATCGTGAACGACCGTTGCCTACTCCGACGACGAGGCGCGCGACGGCAACGCGACTGCAAAGGGCGGCCACCAACCGGAACCCCCTCGTCGCGGCCGCCCGTCGCAGGCCTCTCCACGCCCGCAGGGCCTCCTCCCAGCGTTTCCTGAGCGAAGCCTCGAACTGCAGCCCCGATTCGGAGAGGTGCAGCGAGAGGCGTGAGAGCGCGCGTCGGTTCGCCAGCAGCGACTGATTCAGCATCTGGGGCGCACGGGGGGTGGTGGTGGTGGTGGTGGGGGAAATACACGTTAACTCATTCATTTAAACCGCTCACTCTTTCTATAAAAAAAATTAAAACTTTTTGTGTTTATCGTACGCAGATGTTGCAAAACTGCCATCCCTTGGGTGGGTGTCGAGGAGGAGATGGCACCCTGGCTGTGCCGGGGAAAGGCGGCACAACAAAGTGAGGGTTCTTCTTTGGTTCTTTCGTTAAAGTCACGTAGAATGAGAATAAAATAATAAATTGATCAAATAAAATAACACGATAATATTCTCACGACGTTTCGGCCACAACACAAGCGGCCTTCATCAGGTGAAGGGACGAGACTGTCTGGAAAGTGAGGGTTAATCTCCATCTGTTTCCATCTGTACGGGGATACAGCGTTTCCCCCTCACGCAAGGCGTGGGGTTTATCCCGGTGCTCCGGTTTCCTCTCCACGTGAATGCTAAACATAATTCACCATTAATTGGCTGAAAATGTTGCTAAAATAAAAACCCAGTCGAATAAGCAGGACCCTCCTGATAAGTATGACAATGATACAGCCAATTACTGTGACAAGCATTCTGCCTTCCTGAAGATGCGTGGGATCAGTTTCAAATGATGCATCTATTTGCTACATTTGGTGGTGACAAATGTTCTGGTTGGCACGTTTAGCGCTTGGGACAAGTGACAATTTCATGTTTGGATTTGACAATGATGTTATAATTATACAGGTACACCCCTGTTAATGGCCACCCCTGTTAACGACTAATCGCTTAACGACGGGCCTCCAATAGAGCCCAATGTGTACTGTACAGTGTAGTGTATAGTAATGTATAGTGTAGTGTATAGTGTATGGTAGTGTAGTGCATAATATAAAGAAGTTCAACATACATCCATGAACAAAAAAATCTAACGATACACAATGAATTTCGTGTCTTGATTGATTTTGTTCACGCTTACGGTGACTTTCAGACCGCATTCCATTCTCCTTCTCTCCCCCCCTCCTCCGTTCCGAGCATAGATGAACTCGTCCGTCTGAACAACCGCTAGTCGCTGTCCGTGGTGCTAACGTTAAGAAAAAACCGCCACTTTTTTCAAACACATTCCTGCGGAGGGAGCTGGTAGGAACGTTGGGTTGCTCGGTCAATGGCCAGGGTCAATGGCGGCGTGGTATATTTCCTACATTATTGAGTAGGTTAAACGTTGAGTTTTATAAGGGCACCACGGGGTGACCAGCCCCTCCCCACCCAGCCCCACCCTCTCCACCCAGCCCCTCCCCACCCTCCCCACCCAGCCCCTCCCCACCCTCCCCTCCCCACCCAGCCCCTCCCTCCCCACCCAGCCCCTCCCCACCCTCCCCTCTCCACCCAGCCCCACCCCTCCCATTTTTGGACGCACGACGGACGGATGGACACAATAATCCCCTGTGGGCTGCTGGTGTAACCAGGAGGTTCCTACCAGTAAAATTCTCTTGCTGTGGTCTTTGCACACCTGATGATGATTGCTTGTGTTGCAATCGAAACGTCGTGATAATTTTTTACTATTTATTTTATTATTTCCCTTCTACGTGACTTTACCGAAAGAGCCAAGAATATGATACACAATGATTAAGCCAGTGGCGATGGCAATGACCATGTAAATGGAGATGGCGTCACTCATAGAACCCAATGTGCAGTGTATAGTGTAGTGTATAGTAATGTATAGTGTAACGTAAAGTGTATAGTAGTGTAGTGCATAATATTCTTAGTTTTTTCGGTAAAGTCACGTTGAAGAGAAATAACAAAATAATAAAATATATATAAAACAAAAAAATTCTCGCGACGTTTCGACCATAACTCAAACGGTCATCTTCAGGTGTGTTGGTTTGCATAAATTAATTTTTAAACGGCGCATTTATTTATTTATAAAAAAACGTTAGCGCCATGTGCAACGATTTGGCAGTTTACCCAGGACTAGTCCATCTATATTTTGAAAAGAGGAGGGGGTGGACGAAATTTTTTATAATGTATGCTGTCTGAAAGCCACTGTAAGCGTGAACAATCAATTAAGAACTGAAATGGTTTATCAAATCTTTCCAATGATTGCTAAGATAGAATCCATCTGCTCGGTTGAAATTGTCTCTGTGCTTGTATATCTGGATAGCCTCATGAACGAATCTCTCATGGAAGCCAGATGGCTTACAAAGAACCTCTGTCTTGGAAAAGTCAATGGCATGTGAGCCCACTGAATTAGAACAATGATCTGCTACGGCCGAGGTGTTGGTCCTACCGTGTTTAAGGTCTGCCTTGTGTTCACGAATGCGGTCCGCAAAAAAACTAAGAATATGAATTACTGCAGTCACGAAAGCTTTAAATCAAAATGTAGTGCATAATGTAAAGAAGTTCATCATGCATCCATGAAAAAAAATCTAACGATGGCAATGATTAAGCCAGTGACGATGGCAATGACGGTGCAAATGGAGATTGGCGCCACTTTGCAAGCGCGGTGCACGCATTTTCACCATTGCCTCCCCGTCCATCAAGCGCTGGACTTCTTCAGATCGGACGAAGGCAATTCCCTCCATCAGCTGAGCGTATGTCCTCAGCTCCCGGCCGATCTGGGTGTGCGAGAGCGCGGCGCGTGTGTCAACAGCAACCACGGAGCCAGGGTGCAGCCGTCGCTCTGGCGGTCTCTGGTTGTGGTACCAGCACCACACTCAAATGAAAAAAACACATGTAAATCTATAACAGGCAAGGTTAGCGGCAATGGCTCTTCTTCAGAGCAGAGCGCGAGCGATGCCGGAGAGTTCGAGCAGTGGTTGAGGACTGCCCAACGTACGTACGGTGAACTTCTTTCGCGCACCGTCGTACGCAGCCGGCCGCGCGCTAATCGGAGGTGCGCGGGGTGGGGGTGGGGGGGGGAAGGACTACAAAGGGGACTGAGACACTTAAAAGCAGCGGTCCCAATCGTGACCAACACAAGGCTCACCTTGTCGGACCTCTCGTCCTCCAGCCTCCCGCAGGCAACGTCCAACTCGCGAATCCGGGCCTCTCGCGATTCCGAACGCTGCTCTAGGTCCGACCACACCGCCTCCAGCTCCTTCAGAGGATAAGGTTTGGGGACGACGAATCCCGAGAAGCAAGTCTGAGTGTGACCCCGACCCCCCCCCCGCCCCCCCCCCGCCCCCCCCCCCCACAGACGAAGTGGCGACGCTAGTCGCCGGCTCACGGCAACCCCGGCGGAAGAGCCTCAACTCGAGCCATCGTCGTCGTCGCCATCGTCAACAATCCACGGGGTGCTCATAGCCCGCAGTCGCTGCGGTCCACTGCACGTTTCATCATTCGTTGTTTCCACTTTCCTCTCCCCTTCCTTGTGATGACAATGTGCTCAAGCGGCAACGTCGTTCTGACGCACCAATCTCGTATGATGATGATATCGTCGTCAGGGGCGGAGCCGGGGGGCGGGGGGGTGACGGGGGGGGGGGGTGACATTCTGCGTGTAAGTGTACGACACTCGGGTCTGGCGGCAACGTCGTTCTGACGCACCAATCTCGTATGATGATGTCGTCGTCAGGGGCGGAGCCGGGGGGGCGGGGGGGTGACGGGTGGGGGGGTGACAATCTGCGTGTAAGTGTACGACACTCGGGTCTGGCGGACTCCGTGCCAGCTGCATTGTCAGGGCGTGTCCGCCAAAACCGATGGCGTCTAGCTCAACAGCCTGACTCTCTCTAAATCAATTCTTGACATTAACATTTGTTGAATGTCACCCCGGGTCCTGAAACCCTGGCTCCTGCCCCCTGGTCGTCGTCATCGTCAAGCCATTCTCTGCGAGATTTTCCTCTCTGGGGCAGCGGCTCTCGGCCTGCGGCACTCGACGCTCCTCCGGCCGGTCCCCGGCGGCTGCGAAGCGAAATGGCGAAGTTGATCCGCACGGCGACAACGACAGCGTCCATGCGAATTTTGTGTCGGCGGCAGTAAAAGGTTCAGGACCACGGCGCAAGTGGGATGCCTAGAGGGCTCCTCCAAAGGGGGTGTCGTGGCGCTACCGTCCCAAGCTGGCGAGACGTCTTGGCAGAGGTGGGAGTACGCAGGCTTTACACCCCCCCCCCCGCCCCATCCCCCCCTCCGCCCGACCACACGCGCAAACCTGCATTTGGGACGTTCGGATAATAGCGGCAACGTCGTTTCTTTTTTTGCGATGGGAGAAAACCAGAGAACTCTAAGTGAAACCCATGCTGAACAGGGAGAGAGAACATGCAAAACGCCACGCTATTTTTATTTCACCAGGTAAGGCCCCACTGAGCTCTGTGGATCTTTTTCAACAAGCGGCCCGGCTCTCGCGAATGATGGCCCAACGAAGCGGCTTATCCCGTGGCAATGTCTCGCAGCAGCCAAATCCTCTTAAACGCGTGCCGATGTTCACTCTAAATGTGGCGGGAAAAAAACCGGAGGAACCGGAGAAAAATCCACGCAGCCGCGGGGGAAAGATAGACGCGAAAACTCAAAATATAGAGCAGGCGTCAGGGTGCGGATGGAACCCACAACCTCCTGTATGCCAAGCGAGGGAGTTAACATCTCCTAGCCACCGTGGCACACAGAGAGGCGCCAGGGCCTGCTTGTTGCAGGGCATGAGCGTTACCCACCGCGCTGTCACCACCACCGTGACGCATCCTTGAGAAGCCGACCTCACCACCGGCTGCCGGCTGGCTTCAAACATCGGCAGTGTCGGCTCAGCGCTCTGACCCGGGTTCGATTCCAGCTCACGACCACCCACACCGGTGACGATTATCTCGAAACGGTCCCGGGCCTCCCCCCTAGGTCGACTCGGCCTCAAATGAGTTCCCGGTGCGGTGTGTAGTAAACATCGCGACCGGGGGGAGATAAAGGCGGCCGGGCGTGGTGGTGTTGGCCACCCACCACCGTCGTGTGCCGTTCCGGCCTTCATAGGTGTTGCTCGCTAACAGCACTTGCCCCAACAGTCTGTTAAGGCTACACGGTGGGGGGGGGGGGGGGTGGTGGAATCTTTTTCTTTGCACCTGAAACGACACCGATGCAAGCTTCCCTTCGCCCTCCACGCTGCACATCAGCTCTTCCATGCCGGCGTCGCTTGCGGACAAGTCGCCGCGAAGCCTCTCCCCAGCCTCCTGGTAGCGACGCTCCATATCCTGCAAGCGTGCGCATTGAAGTCCCGTCAGTCGGCTTACATCTCGGGTTAGGCCCCAATGGGCTCAGAAGATCTTTTTCGGTGGCGACAACCGGCCGAAGCAGCCCCGTGCGGTTGCGAGCGCGTGATCCGGGAAGGCAGGTTTCTTTTTTTTTTTAACGTGGGCTGCGCGCAAACTCCAATCCGGATGGGATAACTGCAGCAACGCGGACGGCGCAGCAGATGAGATTGTGATAAGCGATGCAAAAAGAGAGGGAAAAATGTGAATGAGAGGTGGCACTCGGTGCTCTGAAAACAGGTGCGCGAACACCGACTCCTGAATCGATTATCGCCGCTCACGCAAACTAACTCTGCATGTTCCACACGTCGGCTTTCGCGACCAATAGCATCCATAATAGAGGTTTTTTTTGGGGTTGGCATGCCAACGAATTGGCGTGTTCCGTTTACATGACAAACCTTAATTAGCTGTGTCGGGAGGTGGCGGGTTTAACGACACATTTATATATTTACGCGATATCAGCCAAACAAACCCGTATTACGGATGTTCTGTTTACGTGACAATCCTTACTAATTAGTTATTGTAAGGGTGATGGCGGATTTAACGACACATATATTTACGCGATTTAACCCCAAAAAGCCTGTATTATGGATAACTGTGTACGCACGTACGTATTTTGACCCTCTTTCGCAGCACCGTACGTAGCCAACCGTGCAAATTGGAGGTGCGGAGGGAAGGACAACAAACTAAACACAGAAAAATAAGAGTAGGTGTTACCCTCGTTTCGTCTGCATGTTCACCACAGGCACCGTCTGTGGTGAATGCAGACTTTGATTCCTTGCAAGTGGTTTCTACTTGGTGTTTGAACATCTTAACACCCATATTCTTGGTTCTTTCGGTAAAGTCACGTAGAAGGGAAACAATAATATAATACAAATATAAAACAATAAAATTCTCACGACACACCTGATGATGATTGCTTATGTTGCAGTCGAAACGTCGTGAGAATTGTATTGCTTTATATTTTCATTATGTTATTGTTTCCCTTCTACGTGACTTTACCGAGAGAACCAAGAATATGAATCCCTGCAGTCACGAAAGCTTTAAATCAAAATCTATGGGCAGTGTTACTCTATGGGCAGTGTGAGTCTATGGGTAGTGTTGAGTCTATGGGTAGTGTTGAGTCTATGGACAGTGTTGAATCTATGGATAGTGTTAGTCTATGGGCAGTGTTACTCTATGGGCAGTATATATATTCTTGGTTCTTTCGGTAAAGTCACGTAGAAGGGAAACAATAAAATAATAAAATATAAAACAATAAAATTTTCATGACGTTTCGACTGCAACACAAGCAATCATCATCAGGTGTGAAAACCACAACAATATTTTTTTATATTTTTTTTATTATTTTATTGTTTCCCTTCTACGTGACTTTACCGAAAGAACCAAGAATATGAATCCCTGCAGTCACGAAAGCTTTAAATCAACATCTTAACACCTCCTGTTTTATTTCGAGAAAGGTTGAACCCCACGCTTATCTTTCACTATTTGATACTGGCACTACTAAAATATCCCATGATGTAGCTGCTGCTCGCCGCGAGCTATGAACGCTCTGACAGGCCAGACGTGGCGTTGTCTCTGTGCTGTTCGCCTTGTGGCGTTGTTCTCTGGCCTGACACTGGTGTTGAGGCTAGGCCATGAAGAAGCCCGCTGCTGCTGTCTCTGGTGTAGGCGAAGCAGTCTCAAAGGCAACGCATCGTACATTTTCAGAGCGTGTTTTGTGTTTGCACGTTCACCACAGGCACTGTGTGTGGTTAATGCAGCAACTTAATTCCTTGCAAAAGGTTTATATTTGGTGTTTGAACATTTTAACCTGTTTCATTGCCGGGAAGGGTTCAACCAATTCACTCTCTGACACTGGAAGAAAGAAAAAAGGTCCCATGATATATAAACACAGAAAGCCGTTCTAAAGCAATGAGCTTGTCAATCGGGAAGATTTAAAGGTGGCATAGCCCCGGTGGCTTCCTAATATCGGAAGGAATAGTCTTGAGGCATTCGTGGAAGGCACCTTACAAAAAAAACGTAAATTATCGCAATGTGAAAGCGCGCGATGCGGTGACCGTCTTTGTTCGATGGCTTTGGCCAAAAGCCGCCGCTGGGAGGATGTGACCGGAGGTCGCACGACGGTTTGTGTTCCTTGACGTGTGCACGGCTTCCGGAGGCTTCCGAACAAACGAAGTCACGTGCCACATCTAGCCAGCCCCGAGGGCTCGACAGGCATATCCCCACGCTCCGTTATCGGCCCCGCCGCATCGCTCACCGAGTTTATCTGCCCGAGCGCGGCGAAGAAGTCTCGCAGGGCGGCCTCGTGCTTGGAGCGACGTCGCTCGGTCACCCTCTGGACCACGTCTGACCCCACCTTCTCCGCCACTGCAGCGAGAGAGAAAAGAACACAACCCACCACGACGACGACGACACGTTCGCAAGCCGCGCACGGCGTACACGTACACCGCGTCCACGTTGTCAGCTTCGGCGTGCCGCCTGCCAAGCTCTCGCGTGCCATTCCGGGTCGTTCGCGCCTGTGCCGTTGTTTCGCTCCGCAGCGCTAAGAACTTCGATTCCCGAATGGTTCAGTTACTGGGCACGTGGAGGGGAATGTCAGCCGTCATCGGTGTACCTACATCGGTTTCACCCTCATGTGAATCACGTGACTTCTGTGTGGTCACCCCCACTCTGAACCCTTCCCGTCCCCCTGCTGCCCCCTCTGAAAATAAACTCCACTGTGCAGCAGCAGCAGCAGTGTCTAGGCCCTCACGCAGCCTCTTCCACCTCCCTCTCCTCATATCTCCTGCCCCCTCTGTTCCCGTTTCTCCGTTCCTTCTCCGTCCTTTTCCTCTCATCTCCCATTCCTTCTCTTCCCTCTCCCGTTCGTTTCTCTGTTTCCCATCCATTACATCCTTCACTCCACTCCCCTTCCAGAGAACTACCTCGCCTGGTATGCAGGAGGTCGTGGGTTCCATTCCGACCCTGACGCCTGTTGTATATTTGGAGTTTGCGTGTTTCTCTCCCCGTGACCGCGTGGATTTTTCTCCGGTTTTTCCCTCCACATTTAGAATCAGCGTGTCATACATTTCCACATGATAAGCCACTTCGTTGAGCTATCGTCTGTGATAGCCAGGTCGCTTCTGAAAAAAGACATGTAGCTAAGTAGGCCTTATACCTGGCTAAATATAAAATTGTTTGGTGTCTTGCGGTGGTGGTGGTGGTGGAGCCAAAGGTACAAAGGTTGCTATCTGCTCAACAACGCATGGAATCACCCGGAAAATAAAGAACATGCCGGAGATCTAATCTACAATGTATATAGTCAAAGTGCAAAGCACATTTCCAGACGCTGCGAAAGTAAAAACAAGTAATGAAAAACATCATGCACGCACATGGGTCATGACGTAACATTTACATAGCAGCGGATTGATCAATGAGATGAGCGTGTACAGGGAACACAAGAGCGGGAAAACCTTAATTTGGAAATGATACCTATAAATAACAACGTACCCACGTCAACGGCAAGGTTTCTCACTTCCCTCGCAGCAATTTCATCCTCAGTCTCGGCCCCTCTCACGTGCGGCAGCAATTCGCCATTCCTGATGGAAAAAGACGCAGGCACGCCGTTGTGCGCGTGTAGTGACGCAGCGCCGACCGCTGTCCAGCGGCGGCTACTGCGGTGGACAGTTAGCGCACGCGCCGTCGAGCGTACACACGGCGTGTGTGTGCCGGCAGGGCGGAGGAACTGGGATGAGGGTCACGGAAGACCTCATCCAGAAGCCCCGAGAACCCTATACTCTTTGGTTCTATTCGGTAAAGTCACGTAGGTAAAAAAATAAAACAACAAAAATCACGACGTTTCGGCCACAACACAAGCAGCCTTCTTCAGGTGAAGGAACAGAACTGTCGGGACGACAGAGCTTCAATGTCGTTCCCGACAGTTCTGTTCCTTCACCTGAAGAAGGCTACTTGTGTTGTGGCCGAAACGTCGTGATTTTTGTTGTTTTATTTTTTACCTGCGTGACTTTACCGAATAGAACCAAAGAGTATGGATCCTTGCAGTCACGAAAGCTTCAAATCTAGAACCCCTAGAACCCGCTACTCGGCGCGGCCTGGCTCCGCCTTGGCCGCGCCGAGTAGAATAAAAGCAGCGGAGAGCGAGAGCTCCAGGCTGCCGGTTCTGGGAGTGGGCTCGTCACGTCGTCGCTGTCATCTTCGCCGCCGCCGCCGCCGCCTTCGCCCGATAATTGCGGGGCCGGACAGTCGTTGGCTGTCTCGGTCGACGCCGTCGGCGCAACGCGGTCAGGGTTGTGCCTAGGCCGGGCTGTACGGCAACGTGGTCGGGAGAGGAGGCGATCCGGTGTGTGTGAAGGGCCGGAATGGTGTAACGACAAAAGAAAGGTGTCTCCTGCAACTGCCTCGTCTCCGACTGTGTGCTACACAAACGCACGGCACTACACATGCGGTGACACTCGACTGCAAACGCGAATGTCCGCGTGCCGATGATCGAAATTAACCGTGCATCTTTACACAAGAACAACACGCGGCACAAGCTGAACACACATCAGAGAGCTACGCAACATAACGCAACGATCGTCGTTCACCACTTAGTGGTGGTGAAGTCACCACGGCACTTGTGCAAGGCTATGTGCACTTTGAGTTCACGGGAAGTGCCGAAAGCACGCTTGCAGGAGGCCACGCAACAGACCCAGGTGCCATGGGTTGACTGAAAAATGACTGGCAGATGCACCAACTGTGCCCCCCACTGTGCCAACTCTCTGTGCTTTAGCCACTCGGCCCTCCGTTGTTGCTGGAGGGCGACTGCCTACAACTGCCCAGCAGCATCCTTCAGGAGCCTCCTCCACAGAGGCCGATCTTGACACCGCTGGTACCAATCATCGGCAAGTCCACTCAGCTCCACATCCTCCTGTACCGCTTCAGGCCCCCTCTGCTCGAGACCGTGCCGTGCCCGTTTAGCCCCCTCTATGCGGCCAAACACACGCTGCTTGGCCATCCGGTGGCTGGGCATGCGGGCTGCATGGCCCAGCCAATGCAGCCTTGCCTGCCAGAGGAGCTCACCGATGGCACTGTGTCTAGACATTACATGTAAACACACTCACAAAAGACTATGGTCCCCGCATAGCCTTAACAGACTGTTGGGGCAAGTGCTGTTAGCGAGCACCTATGAAGGCCGGCACGGAACACGAGGGGGTGGGTGGTCAACACCACGCCCGGCCGCCTTTGTCTCCCAAGTGGCGATGTTTACAACACACACCGCTCCAGGTATTTATTTGAAGCTGAGTCGACCCAGGAGAGGCCCAGGACCGGTTCAGATATTCGTCACTGGCGTTGCCCGTGCACGGGAATCGAACCCGGGTCGCCGAGTTCAATTGCGCAGCATGGCGCTAACCGCTACACTACCCGGCTCCCCACGTAAACAGACACGCGTCTACACACAGAGAGACCCTTACACAAACACACACACGTGTAAAACACACAGAGAGACACACGCACACCGTACATGTACACAGGTGCGCACGGACACACTCGGGAGCTACAGGAGGGCACCGTGTAAACGCCGCGGGCGGTTTGTGGAGGCGGTGAGGAGTGCCGAGCATCCACACTCGGGCGGGCAGAGCCCCCGGGGGCCCCGCCTCATCGCTGCGGGGGGCCCAGCCCCCCAAGTGGGCCCAGCCCCCCAAGTGGGTGGGCAGCAGCCCCTCCCCTGGACTGCCCCAGCGTTGCCTTGCCCTGGCGAGAGAGTGCACCAGCTGCACCTGCAACAACAGCGACAAGGCGCGCACGTCTCACTCCGCTGCCGGATGAGCGCCTCCCCACGCGCCGTGCGGCTCCTGGGGTGGGGGGGTTTTGGCCATACTTCACCATGCTGGTCAGCACGGATTGGCGAAGACGGCGAGCATAGACGCAGGGCGTAGAAGTGCTATACAACAATTGAGTTTAACGCGTAGGCTTTCGCGACCAATATCATCCATAATACAGGGGTCTTTTTGGGGTTAGATCGCGTAAATATGTGTCGTTAATCCCGCCACCACCCGACACAGCCAATCAGTAAAGGTTTGTCACGTAAACAGAACGTGCCAATTTGTTACTAGTACAGCACACCGTTGTGTCGGAGAGCCAAGCCACAACATTTACAATCTGAATACGACGAATCTGGATGTGGCCTGATGAAGCTAGTTGTAATGACTGGAGAAACGTCGTACTCAGATTGTAAATGTTGTGGCCTGGCTCTCCAACACAACAATTGATTTATCTGCACTGCCACCCAACACTTTGGTGTCATGAACCAAGTCGAACCATCGCCACAGCGATATCACACAGGACAGGCAATACCACAGCAATATCTCAGGATAGACAATACTACTGAGTCAGTAGTATCTAATAGTCAGTAGTATCTAATAGCGTCAGTAGTATATAATAGAGTCAATAGTATCTAATAGAGTCAATAGTATCTATTGAGTTAGTAGTATCTAATAGAGTCAATAGTATCTAATAGAGTCAATAGTATCTATTGAGTTAGTAGTATCTAATAGAGTCAGTAGTATCTAATATAGTCAGTAGTATCTACTGAGTTAGTAGTATCTAATAGTGTCAGTAGTATCTAATAGAGTCAGTAGTATCTAATAGTCAGTAGTATCTAATACAGTCAGTAGTATCTAATAGAGTCAGTAGTATCTAATAGTCAGTAGTATCTAATAGAGTCAGTAGTATCTAATAGTGTCAGTAGTATCTAATAGAGTCAGTAGTATCTAATAGAGTCAGTAGTATCTAATAGTCAGTAGTGTCTAATAGAGTCAGTAGTATCTAATAGAGTCAGTAGTATCTAATAGAGTCAGTAGTATCTAATAGTCAGTAGTGTCTAATAGTTAGTAGTATCTAATAGTTAGTAGTATCTAATAGAGTCATTAGTATCTAATAGTTAGTAGTATCTAATAGTCAGTAGTATCTAATAGTTAGTAGTATCTAATAGTCAGTAGTATCTAATAGAGTCAGTAGTATCTACTGAGTTAGTATTATCTAATAGAGTCAGTAGTATCTACTGAGTCAGTAGTATCTACTGAGTCAGTAGTATCTAATAGTTAGTAGTATCTAATAGAGTCAATAGTATCTAATAGAGTCAGTAGTATCTAATAGGGTCAGTAGTATCTAATAGAGTCAGTAGTATCTAATAGTCAGTAGTATCTAATAGAGTCAGTAGTATCTAATAGTTAGTAGTATCTAATAGAGTCAGTAGTATCTAATAGTCAGTAGTATATACTAGAGTCAGTAGTATCTAATAGAGTCAGTAGTATCTAATAGAGTCAGTAGTATCTACTGAGTCAATAGTATCTAATGGAGTCAGTAGTATCTACTGAGTTAGTAGTATCTAATAGAGTCAGTAGTATCTAATGGAGTCAGTAGTATCTAATAGAGTCAGTAGTATCTACTGAGTTAGTAGTATCTAATAGAGTCAGTACTATCTAATAGAGTCAGTACTATCTAATAGAGTCAGTAGTATCTACTGAGTCAGTACTATCTAACAGAGTCAGTAGTATCTAATAGAGTCAGTAGTATCTAATAGAGTCAGTAGTATCTAATAGAGTCAGTAGTATCTAATAGAGTCAGTAGTATCTACTGAGTCAGTAGTATCTAATAGAGTCAGTACTATCTAATAGAGTCAGTAGTATCTAATAGAGTCAGTAGTATCTACTGAGTTAGTAGTATCTAATAGAGTCAGTACTATCTAATAGAGTCAGTACTATCTAATAGAGTCAGTAGTATCTAATAGTCAGTAGTATCTAATAGAGTCAATAGTATCTAATAGTCAGTAGTATCTACTGAGTCAGTAGTATCTACTGAGTTAGTAGTATCTAATAGTCAGTAGTATCTAATAGAGTCAGTAGTATCTAATAGTCAGTAGTATCTAATAGAGTCAGTAGTATCTACTGAGTTAGTAGTATCTAATAGAGTCAGTAGTATCTAATAGAGTCAGTACTATCTAATAAAGTCAATAGTATCTAATGGAGTCAGTAGTATCTACTGAGTAGTATCTACTGAGTTAGTAGTGTCTAATAGAGTCAGTACTATCTAATAGAGTCAGTAGTATCTAATGGAGTCAGTAGTATCTAATGGAGTCAGTAGTATCTAAGAGGCAATAGTATATACTGAGTCAGTAGTATCTACTGAGTTATTAGCATCTATTAGAGTCAGTAGTGTCGAGACACATGGGGGAGGGGGGGGGAAGAAGAGGATATCAGTGCAGGCGACGGGCGAGGCGTGTAGCCTAAGGCCGGCAAAACTCTCGCATGTGTAATGACAGTAGATTCAACCTGCAGTGCGAAGGGACTAGTGGCCACGGGAGGTAATGACAGTAGATTCAACCTACAGTGCGAATGGACTAGTGGCCACGGGAGGTAATGACATGGGAGTCAGCCTGCAGTGCAAAGGGACTAGTGTCCTCGGGAGGTAATGACATGAGAGTCAGCCTGCAGTGCGAAGGGACTAGTGGCTACGGGAGATAATGGCAGATGAGTCAGCCTGCAGTGGGAAGGGACTAGTGGCCACGGGAAGTAATGATAAGGGGAGTCAGCCTACAGTGCGAAGGGACTAGCGGCCACGGGAAGTAATGACAGGGGAGTCAGCCTACAGTGCGAAGGGACTAGTGGCCACGGGAGATAATGACAGATGAGTCAGCCTGCAGTGCGAATGGACTAGCGGCCACGGGAGGTAATGACAGGGGAGTCAGCTTGCAGTATTAAGGGACTAGTGGCTACAGGAATGATCGAGAATAGGAGCATGGCAAGGTGAAAGATGAGGAGTTTGCTAGTGGAGCGAGCGGTCTAGAACCAGCGAGAAGGTTCGGGAATGGGGGCTTGGCCTTGGACCGTATGTTAAGGGAGATGCACAGTGGGGGTTTCCCACCTGTTCGAGTGAACGTGTCTACAAATAAAAGAAACCATCTCAACTCAAGTGCGTGAAATCGTCATTACAAAAGTACAAAAACATCCGGTACATGGTCGTGGTGAATACCTCGGCATCAAAAAGCTGTCGATACACCTTCCCGCTTGGGACCACACGGACCTCAGACATTCCCTTCCGCTGAACTGCTCCACAAGGATTCGTTTCGCGTCAATGACCTGCTGGGAAGAGATACCGCACACGACCCCGTGTCTGATAACGCACTCTGTAAAAAGTGAGTGCTGTTTGCGGCTAGACGTCTGGTATCTGTGTTGCGCGACACACAAACACACACACACGTGTGCGCGCGCTTGCACAAGAGTGAACGTTTGTAAGCACGTTAAATAAGCGTTTTATCGTTCGTTTGAATTAATAATCATGGCACTCGTAACAACGACGACGAAGTTCCCCTGTACAGTGAAACCTTGGATTGCGAGCAAAATTCGTTCCTGAAAACGTGCCCGTAATCCAAAGCACTCGTATATAATGGAAACTCAGATGATTCGTTCCACAACCCAAAAATACTGTATTCAAATAAAAATGATTAATACTAAATACCTTTTTTATATTTTTATTATTTAAATTTAATATAAAGTAATCCAATTTATTAATTACATTTAATCGTGGCTGGTGCGAGCGAGACGAGATAGAGGAGGAGGGTTATTGTGTAGGACGACTTTCAGTTACTAAAGAACAGTCACTACACTTGGACACAAAATAAAAAAAATGCTTTACGCACACACACGTGGTCACAACACTGTAGTAAACAGTACACACGTGGTCACAACACTGTAGTAAACAGTATACACGTGGTCACAACACTATACTGTAGTAAACAGTAAACACGTGGTCACAACACTATAGTACTGTAGTAAACAGTATACACGTGGTCACAACACTATAGTACTGTAGTAAACAGTATACACGTGGTCACAACACTATACTGTAGTAAACAGTATACACGTGGTCACAACACTGTAGTAAACAGTATACACGTGGTCACAACACTGTAGTAAACAGTATACACGTGGTCACAACACTATACTGTAGTAAACAGTAAACACGTGGTCGCAACATTATACTGTAGTAAACAGTATACAAGTGGTCACAACACTATAGTACTGTAGTAAACAGTATACACGTGGTCACAACACTATAGTACTGTAGTAAACAGTATACACGTGGTCACAACACTATAGTACTGTCGTAAAGAGTATACACGTGGTCACAACACTATAGTACTGTAGTAAACAGTATACACGTGGTCACAACACTAAAGTGTAGTAAACAGTAAACACGTGGTCACAACACTATAGTACTGTAGTAAACAGTATACACGTGGTCACAACACTAGTAAATAGTATACACGTGGTCACAACACTATAGTACTGTAGTAAACAGTATACACGTGGTCACAACACTATAGTACTGTAGTAAACAGTATACACGTGGTCACAACACTATAGTACTGTAGTAATCAGTATACACGTGGTCACAACACTATAGTACTGTAATAAACAGTATACACGTGGTCACACCACTGTAGTAAACAGTATACACGTGGTCACAACACTATAGTACTATAGTAAACAGTATACACGTGGTCACACCACTATGGTACTGCAGTAAACTATACACGTGGTCACAATACTATAGTACTGTAGTAAACAGTATACACGTGGTCACAACACTATAGTACTATAGTAAACAGTATACACGTGGTCACAACACTATAGTACTATAGTAAACAGTATACACGTGGTCACAACACTATAGTACTATAGTAAACAGTATACACGTGGTCACACCACTATAGTACTATAGTAAACAGTATACACGTGGTCACAACACTATACTGTAGTAATCAGTATACACGTGGTCACAACACTATAGTACTGTAGTAAACAGTATACACGTGGTCACAACACTATAGTACTATAGTAAACAGTATACACGTGGTCACAACACTACAGTAGTGTAGTAAACAGTATACACGTGGTCACAACACTATAGTACTGTAGTAAACAGTATACACATGGTCACAACACTATAGTACTGTAGTAAACAGTATACACGTGGTCACACAACTATAGTAAACAGTAAACACGTGGTCACAACACTGTAGTAAATAGTATACACGTGGTCACAACACTATAGTACTGTAGTAAACTATACACGTGGTCACAACACTATAGTACTGTAATAAACAGTATACACGTAGTCACAACACTGTAGTAAACAGTATACACGTGGTCACAACACTATAGTACTATAGTAAACAGTATACACGTGGTCACACCACTATAGTACTGTAGTAAACAGTATACACGTGGCACAACACTATAGTACTATAGTAAACAGTATACACGTGGTCACAACACTATAGTACTATAGTAAACAGTATACACGTGGTCACACCACTATAGTACTGTAGTAAACAGTATACACGTGGTCATACCACTATAGTACTGTAGTAAACAGTATACACGTGGTCACAACACTATAGTACTGTAGTAAACAGTATACACGTGGTCACAACACGATAGTACTATAGTAAACAGTATACACGTGGTCACAACACTATAGTACTGTAGTAAACAGTATACACGTGGTCACAACACTATAGTACTATAGTAAACAGTATACACGTGGTCACAACACTATAGTACTATAGTAAACAGTATACACGTGGTCACAACACTACAGTACTGTAGTAAACAGTATACACGTGGTAACAACACTATAGTACTGTAGTAAACAGTATACACGTGGTCACAGCACTATAGTACTCTAGTAAACAGTATACACGTGGTCACAACACTATAGTACTATAGTAAACAGTAAACACGTGGTCACAACACTATACTGTAGTAATCAGTATACACGTGGTCACAGCACTATAGTACTGTAGTAAACAGTATACACGTGGTCACAACACTATAGTACTATAGTAAACAGTATACACGTGGTCACAACACTATAGTACTATAGTAAACAGTATACACGTGGTCACAACACTATAGTACTGTAGTAATCAGTATACACGTGGTCACAACACTATAGTACTATAGTTAACAGTATACACGTGGTCACAACACTATAGTACTGTAGTAAACAGTATACACGTGTATAGCCTTAAAATACTGCTGGGGCAAGTGATGTTAGTGAGGAGCATGCCTATGAAGCCTGACACGGTACACGTGGGTGTGGGTGGTCAGCACCACGCCCGGCCGCCTTTGTCTCCCCAGTGGCGATGTTTACTTACACACCGCACCAGATACTCAGTTAAGGCCGAATCGACCTAGGGGAGGGCCCACGACCGGTTAAGATAATCGTCACTGGTGTTGGCCGTGAGCGGGAATGGAACTCGGGTCAACCGGGTTCGTAGTGCAGCGGTGGATAACTGCTACACTACAGCTCCCCATAAAACGATAACACTTTTTTAATATATAAGGCCCCAATGAGCTATATAGTCATTTTTAGAAGCGACCTGGCAACCATGGAAGTTCATAGCAGCAGGCAAATATCCCCTAAACGCGTGGTGATGTTAATTCTAAAATGTGGGAGGGAAAAACCGGAGGACCCTGACAAAAAAATCCACGCGACCACGGAGAGAGAGACACGCAGATTCCAAATATACAGCAGCAGGTGTCAGGGTTGAGATTGAACCCACGACCTCCTGCACACCAGGCGAGGTAGTCAACATCTAGTCACCGTGATGATGAGAGAGAGAGACACGCAAACTCCAAATATACAGCAGCAGGCGTCAGAGTTGAGATTGAACCCACGACCTCCTGCACACCAGGCGAGGTAGTCAACATCTAGCCACCGTGATGATGAGAGAGAGAGAGACACGCAGACTCCAAATATACAGCAGCAGGCGTCAGGGTTGAGATTGAACCCACGACCTCCTGTACACCAGGCGAGGTAGTCAACATCTCCTAGCCACCGTGATGATGATGATGAGAGAGACACGCAGACTCCAAATATACAGCAGGAGGCGTCAGGGTTGAGATTGAACCCACGACCTCCTGTACACCAGGCGAGGTAGTCAACATCTCATAGCCACCGTGATGATGATGATGAGAGAGACACGCAGACTCCAAATATACAGCAGCAGGCGTCAGCGTCGAGATTTAACTTACGACCTCCTGTATATCAGGCGAGATAGTCAACATCTCCTAGCCACCGTGATGATGAGAGAGAGAGAGAGACACGCAGATTCCAAATATACAGCAGCAGGCGTCAGGGTTGAGATTGAACCCACGACCTCCTGTACACCAGGCAAGGTAGTCAACATCTTCTAGCCACCGTGATGATGATGAGAGAGAGAGAGAGAGACGCAGACTCCAAATAGCAGCAGCAGGTGTCAGGGTTGAGATTGAACCCACGACCTCCTGCACACCAGGCGAGGTAGTCAACATCTCCTAGCCACCGTGATGATGATGATGATGAGAGAGACACGCAGACTCCAAATATACAGCAGCAGGCGTCAGCGTCGAGATTTAACTTACGACCTCCTGTATATCAGGCGAGGTAATCAACATCTCCTAGCCACCGTGATGATGAGAGAGAGAGAGAGACACGCAAACTCCAAATAAACAGCAGCAGGCGTCAGGGTCGGGATCAAACCCACGTCCTCCAGTACACCAGGCGAGGTAGTTACACATCTCTCAGCCACCGTGGCACCCATACTCACATCAACACCATCACCACACAACAACCACCACCACCATCATCACCACCATCATTTTACATCCTCCTCCCAAGCAGTTGTTTTGACTCCGTTGCTACGCAACGCATCGGGTATCGCTTAAGGAATCGACTCCCAACGATTCCTACTGCGTGTCGATTACGCCCACGGGTTTGTAAGGAATTTTAAATCATTAAACTTTAAACTTCTTATTCTTATCGTCGTCGTACGGCTGCTGATGTCGATGTGGAGGCGACAACTTACAATGTCGCATTCGGGTGATGAAACCAGCAAACAACCGCGTCAGGAGACAGCGGAGTAGTTGTATCATCATCGCTGTGATGTCTCTTAGTCTGTGGGTCTCTGATTCTATGGATCTCTATGGGGGTCTATGAGTCTCTGTGGGTCTCTATTAGTCTGGATCTCGATGGGTATCTTTGAGGCTCTGTGTGTCTCTATTAGTCTGCATCTCTATGGATCTCTATGGGTCTCTATGAGTAGAGATCCAGACTAATAGAGACCCACAGAGACTCATAGATACTCATAGAGATCCAGACTAATAGAGACTCACAGAGACTCATAGATACCCATAGAGATCCAGACTCATAGAGACCCACAGAGACTCATAGATACCCATAGAGATCCAGACTCATAGAGACTCGCAGAGACTCATAGATACCCATAGAGATCCAGACTCATAGAGACTCACAGAGACTCATAGATACCCATAGAGATCCAGACTCATAGAGACTCACAGAGACTCATAGATACCCATAGAGATCCAGACTCATACTCACAGAGACTCATAGATACCCATAGAGATCTAGACAAATAGAGACTCTCGGAGACTCATAGATACCCATAGAGATCCAGACTAATAGAGACACACAAAAACTCATAGATACTCATAAAGATCCAGCCTAATAGAGACTCACAGAGACTCATAGATACCCATAGAGATCCAGTCTCATAGAGACCCACAGAGACTCATAGTTCATAGTTCATTTATTTGGTATAGCCCTGTGAGCCATTCGGCTCTTGAATCGGGTGCAACCGCAACAAACAAAAACATAAACAAGAAAACATCTTAAAGTGATTATGTGACTGTGCAAACAGAAAATCCATGGAGAAAAAAAACTGCAAAAATATTCCTGAAAAAAGCACCGTACACCAACGCTGTGTGCAAAAATCCCAGTGGGATGCAAGTCAAACAACAACAAAACAACCACAAGGCAACTAAGATTAAGGCCATCAGTCTAACTCCGTACTACAATAAACAAAAACATGGCCAAAACAAAAAAAAAACCGTTTTCGAAATCACCAAAATAAAGCCATAAATGCAATGTAACAGTGATCATAGGGACTGTGACCGAATTTTTAACAATAAACTACATGAATAAATTATAACACCAAAATCTAGAGCCATATTAGAGGATTCGAGGTGGTCGTGGCCAAGGGCAGAGCCAGCCACGACCAGTGAGGATATAAACCGTGTCCCCAGAGTTTCAGTTTTCAGTTTCACTTTATTTTGGTATAGCCCCTGTGAGCCATCCGGCTCTTGAATCTGGTGCAACCACAACAAACAAAAAAACAAGAACACGAACAAGAAAACATCTTAAAGTGACTATGTGTGACTGTGCAAAACAAAAAATCCATGGGGAAAAAAAAACACCAAAAATATTCCTGAAAAAAGCACCGTACAGCAACGCTGTGTGCAAAAAATCCCAGTGGGATGCAAGTCAAACAACAACAACCACAAGACAACTTAGATTAAGGCCATCAGTCTAACTCCATACTACAATAAACAAAAACATGGCCAAAACCAAAAAAAACGTTTTCGAAATCACCAAAATAAAGCCATAAATGCAATGTAACAGTGATCATAGGGACTGTGACCGAATTTTTAACAATAAAATACATGAATAATTTATGACACCAAAATCTAGAGCCATATTAGAGGATTCGAGGTGGTCGTGGCCAAGGGCAGAGCCAGCCACGACCAGTGAGGATATAAACCGTGTCCCCAGAGTTTCAGTTTTCAGTTTCACTTTATTTTGGTATAGCCCCTGTGAGCCATCCGGCTCTTGAATCTGGTGCAACCACAACAAACAAAAAAACAAGAACACGAACAAGAAAACATCTTAAAGTGACTATGTGTGACTGTGCAAAACAAAAAATCCATGGGGAAAAAAAACCAGCAAAAATATTCCTGAAATAGCACCGTACACCAACGCTGTGTGCAAAAAATCCCAGTGGGATGCAAGTCAAACAACAACAACAACCACAAGACAACTAAGATTAAAGCCATCAGTCTAACTCCGTACTACAATAAACAAAAACATGGCCAAAACAAAAAAAAAACGTTTTCGAAATCACCAAAATAAAGCCATAAATGCAATGTAACAGTGATCATAGGGACTGTGACCGAATTTTTAACAATAAAATGCATGAATAAATTATAACACCAAAATCTAGAGCCATATTAGAGGATTCGAGGTGGTCGTGGCCAAGGGCGGAGCCAGCCACGACCAGTGAGGATATAAACCGTGTCCCCAGAGTTTCAGTTTCAGTTTATTTTGGTATAGCCCTATGAGCCATCCGGCTCTTGAATCGGGTGTAACCACGACAAACAAAAAAACACGAACAAGAAAAACATCTTAAAGTGACTATGTGACTGTGCAAACAGAAAATCCATGGAAAAAAAACAGCAAAAATATTCCTGAAAAAAGCACCTTACACCACCAACGCTGTGTGAAAAAAATCCCAGTGGGATGCAAGTCAAACAACAACAACCACAAGAAAACTTAGATTAAGGCCATCAGTCTAACTCCGTACTACAACAAAACAAACATGTCCAAACCAAAAAAACGTTTTCCAAATCACCAAAAAAATAAAGCCATAATTGCAACGTAACAGCGATCACAAGGACTGTGACCGAATTTTTTACAATAAACTACATAAATAACATGTAACACCAAATCCTAGAGCCATAGCTGGCTGCATGAGTTACTCCACAACAACAGAAGCATCGGTCGGAGTATCACATTTTTCAATGCACCTTTAAGATCAGCACGCTAAATCAAAATACAGAGGGACCGAGGTTCAGCGTGTTGCTGAGTTATCCTGAAGATGTACGTTTTTTTTGTTGTTTCCTCCCATACAGCTTAAAGGACGCGACCTGGGCTTGCTGTCTTCACTCCAACGCTGTCCTCTGGACAGTCCAGTCCCTTCACCTGATGAAGGCCACTTGTGTCGTGGCCGAAACGTCGTGATTTTTTGTTATTTTATTTTTTACCTACGTGACTTTACCGAATAGAACCAAAGAGTATGGATCCTTGCAGTCACGAAAGCTTCAAATCTAGAAGAGTCACCGACACGTTGACGTGGACCCAAGCCGGGCCCCTGTCCGTGGTAGCTATTCCCAATGTAATTGGTGTAGTTAGCCTGGTAAGGGGCCGTCCATAAATGACGTCACGCACCTGGGGGGGGGGGGGGGGGGTCAGGCATTTGTGACGATGTGTGACGAGGGGGGGGGGGAGTTTTTATTTAAAGCTTTCGTGACTGCAGTGATTCATATTCTTGGTTCTTTTGGTAGTCACGTTGAAGGGAAACAATAAAAATAATAAAATATGTTTTATATATAAAAATAATGAAAATGTTTTATAGATTTTATTATTTAGAATATATAAAATAATTAAATATATTACCATATTTTATTATTTCAAAATATAAAACATATTTGATTATTTTATTGTTTCCCTTCAACGTGACTTTACCGAAAGAACCAAGAATATGAGGGGGGGAGTGTTTGAGAAATGTGACGTCACATCAAAATGCGCAACCTTAAATAAATATAGACAACACGTTCTACTTAATTAAATATAAATTTTAAATGTTTTTGGGGGGGGGGCAGAGCTTTGTGACGTCATATTTGAGGGGGTGGGGGGGTCTGACTTTTTGTGACGCCGTGTGACGAAGAGGGGGAGGGGCCAAAAATCGTCAAAAATCGCGTGACGTCATTTATGGACGGCCCCTTTGGCGTTTTAACATCTTAACACAAACTGTTTTATTGCCACAAAAGGTAAAACCTTTTTTTAATATGTTTTGATACACTGGCAAAGGATGTCCCGTGAAGTACAGTCAACAATAACAACAACAATGACAGTACAGAATCGATTCGTTAACATACTCTACGAATCGGAATCGATTCCCCTCCAACTCCGCCCCCCCCCCACAACGCCATTGAATTCTCCGTCGATTTTAATCGTAACGTCGTTTCACGGGAATCGATTCCCGTCTTCACCACCCTGAGGAGCATGGCGGATGCGGTGTCGGCGTTGCTCGCTCGCCTCGGAGGCTGCGAAGACCGAGCCGAGGCACTGCTGAGCCTCAAGACGGCCGTGTTCGCCTCGCAGCCCTCCACACTCGCCGGCGTCAGCCTGGAGCCACTCTTCGAGATCCTCGACTGCGGGGATAGGTGCGTGATCGATTCCCACTCAACCGGTCGTCTCAGTCGGTCAACCCGCGGCACACTGCTAGGTCTGTCCGGAGACCTCCTGCACCTAGCCTGGCACAGTAGAGGGGGTACAGCTGGTGGTGCATCTACCGGTCATCTCAGTCAGTCAACCCACGGCACCTGCTGGGTCTGTCCCGTGACTTCCTTTCAGCGGCGAGCCTCAAAGTAGCCTCAAAGTGCACCTAGCCTGGCACAGGCGGCGTCACCGTCACTTAGTGGCGAATGGCGGGTGTTGGTGGTATTGGTTTGAGTGTTGGTGGGGAGCGGTGGTGCTGCGGTTAGCGCCACGCTGCGCTACGAACCCGGCTATAACCCGAGTTCGATTCCCGCTCACGGCCAAACGACACCGGTGACGATTATCTGAACCTGGTCCTGGGCCTCCCCTAGGTCGACTCAGCCCTCAAATGAGTACCTGGTGCGGTGTGTAGTAGCAAACATCGCCACTGGGGGAGACAAAGGCGGCCGGGCGTGGTGCAGGCCACCCACACCTTAATGTACCGTGCCGGTCTTCGTAGGTGCTACTCGCCAACAGCACTTGCCCCAACAACTTGTTAAGGCTACACGGGGCATCTTTGCCTTTGGGGTGTGTGCCGGTGGGTGGGAGCGGTGGCGCAGCGGTTAGCGCGCTACCGAAATCCAGGCAGAGGATCCGAGTTTAAATTCCCGCTCACGGCCACCACCAACACCACCAGTGACGGTTATCTGAACCTGGTCCTAGGCCTCCCCTAGGTCGACTCAGCCTCAAACGAGTACCTGGTGCGGTGTATAAGTCAACATCGCCACTGGGGGAGACAAAGGCGGCCGGGCGTGGTGCTGACCACCCACCCCCTCGTGTGCCGTGCCGGCCCTCATAGGTGCTAACTCGCTAACAGCACTTGCCCCTACAGCCTGTTATGGTCTACACGGGGGATCTTTGTGTTTAACTGTAAAACATCGCCATTTGGTCAATTGGAGGGCAGTCGCCCTCCCAACAACAACGGAGGGCAGAGGAGCGACGCTCACAACAACGGGCGGAGCGCCCCGGGGCAGATAAAATGCGGCAAGCTGGCAACAGTATGGGGCACATGTATGTGGTGGTGCGTCTGGCGATGTGCTCGGTCAACCCATGGCACCGGTTGTCGTGGGCCTGTGGGCGAACCTTTTACACATCACGTGGCCTCGAAAACGTTCTCCTGTTCTGTTTCCTTCCTTGTCCATCCCCCCCACAACCCCGAAACTCCGATTAGGACGGCTGGCTACGTACGGTGCGGAAGAAGTTCATCATACGTCGTGGTAACACGCGTGTTGGTGTGTGTTTAGTTTGTTGGCTATCCCCCACACCCCCCACCCCCGAACCTCCGATTAGGACGGCTGGCTACGTACGGTGCGGAAGAAGTTCAACGTACATGCAAGGTGCACCTAGCGTGGCACAAGCGCCGTGGTGACGTCACTGTTGCTGCTGTCGCTGCTGCTGCTGCTACTGCTGCTACTGCTGCTGCTACTACTGCTGCTGTTGCTACTGCTGCTACTGCTGCTGCTACTACTACTGCTGCTACTGCTGCTACTACTACTGCTGCTACTGCTGCTGCTACTGCTGCTACTGCTGCTACTGCTGCTGCTACTGCTGCTACTGCTGCTACTACTGCTGCTACTGCTGCTGTTGTCGCTGCTGCTACTACTGCTGCTACTGCTGCTGCTACTGTCGCTGCTGCTGCTACTGCTGCTACTGCTGCTGTTGCTACTGCTGCTACTGCTGCTGCTACTGCTGCTACTACTGCTGCTACTGCTGCTACTGCTGCTGCTACTGTCGCTGCTGCTGCTACTGCTGCTACTGCTGCTGTTGCTACTACTGCTGCTACTGCTGCTGTCGCTGCTGCTGCTGTTATCGCTGCTGCTACTACTGCTGTCACTGCTGTTGTCGCTGCTGCTACTACTGCTGCTACTGCTGCTGTTGTCGCTGCTGCTGCTACTGCTGTTGCTACTGCTGCTGCTACTACTGCTGCTACTGCTGCTGTTGTTGCTACTGCTGCTGCTGCTACTGCTGCTGCTGTTGTTTCTGCTGCTGCTGCTGCTGCTGTTGCTGCTGCTGCTGTCGCTCCTGCTGCCTGGTGGTGCTGCACAGGGAGCACACGGAGCTCTGCTGCGCCGTGCTGGAGCGGGCTCTGCACCCCGAGCAGCCTCAGCGTCTCCTCGCCGCGCATCGCCACAACCTCACCCGGGGCCTGCTGCACCCGCACGAACTCGTCCGCCTGCTCTCCCTCACTCTGGTGACTCTTCATCAGTTCCTATTGTTACTGCGGCATTATCATCATCATCACGGACGGTTTTAATCAGAACGTTTATTTATACCGGAGGAATCTGATGAGCTGTAGGGGCGCCACAGTGGCTATGAGGTGTTAACTACCTCGCCTGGTATGCAGGAGGTCGTGGGTTCGATCCCGACCCTGACGCCTGCTGCTGTATATTTGGAGTTGGCGTGTCTCTCTCTCTCATCATCATCATCACGGTGGCTAGGAGATGTTCACTACCTCGCCTGGTGTGCAGGAGGTCGTGGGTTCGATCCCGACCCTGATGCCTGCTGTATATTTGGAGTTTGTGTGTCTCTCTCATCATCATCACGGTGGCTAGGAGATGTTCACTACCTCGCCTGGTGTGCAGGAGGTCGTGGGTTCGATCCCGACCCTGATGCCTGCTGTATATTTGGAGTTTGCGTGTCTCTCTCATCATCATCACGGTGGCTAGGAGATGTTAACTACCTCGCCTGGTGTGCAGGAGGTCGTGAGTTCGATCCGGACCCTGACGCCTGCTGCTGTGTATTTGGAGTCTGCGTGTCTCTCTCTCTCTCATCATCATCACGGCGGCTAGGAGATGTTAACTACCTCGCCTGGTGTACAGGAGGTCATGGGTTCGATCCCGACCCTGATGCCTGCTGTATATTTGGAGTTTGCGTGTTTCTCCCTACCCCCCGTGGTCACGTGGATTTTTCGCAGAGTCCTCCTGGTTTTCCCTCCACATTTATAAAATGTCATTTAGAGTATTTGGCAGGTATAAATTTCCACACGATGACGATAAGCCACTTCGTTGGGCTATCATGTGTGATAGCCAGGTCGCTTCTGACAAAAGAGCTGGAAAGCTCAGTGGGCCTTACCTGGTAAAATACCAAGAAAAATCGTTGATAAAACTTTTTTCACAGATGTCCGATCCTCTCGATCTGAGAACAACCGATTCCACCGCTGGATAAAGACCTCCTCCCCCTTCCCATCTCTCGGGAGAGTCGCGGCGGCGATGCAACAGTCAGTCCGTCAGTCAGTCCGTCAGTCCGTCAGTCCGTCAGTCAGTCCGTCAGTCAGTCCGTCAGTCAGTCAGTCCGTCCGTCCGTCAGTCAGTCCATCAGTCAGTCCGTCAGTCAGTCCGTCAGTCAGTCCGTCAGTCAATCAGTCCGTTAGTCAGTCCGTCAGTCAGTCCTTTAGTCAGTCCGTCAGTCAGTCCGTCAGTCAGTCCGTCCGTCAGTCCGTCAGTCAGTCTGTCAGTCATACTCTTTGGTTCTTTCGGTAAAGTCACGTAGGTATAAAATATTTGAAAAATATATATATGTGAAATAAATTTAATCACGACGTTTCGATTGCATCACAAGCAATCATCATCGGGTATGAGAACTACAGCAAGGCATTTTTTTTAGCTGATAACCTCTTAACCACGATATCTCTTCCCACTTCAGCTAAACAAAAAAATATTGCTGTAGTTTTTCACACCTGATGATGATTGCTTGTGTTGCAATCGAAACGTCGTGATTCAATTTATTTTATGTATTTTTTTTTCTACCGACGTGACTTTTACCGAAAGAACCAATGAGTATTGGATCCCTGCAGTCACGAAAACTTCAAATCTAGAAGTCCGTCAGTCAGTCCATCCGTCTGTTGCCAAGCCGCTTTGGGGGGGGGGGGGGGGCCGGGGGCTCTCGTGCTGCAGCAGACCCAACAAAGGGCTTTGGAGTGCCGCCCGCTAAAATTGTCTCCAGCGAATCCTTGTTTATTCGACAAATATGGGGCTCTGGCCTTGCCGAATTATAAAATGTTCCGAATTATCTACAACGGTTACTCCCCCCCCCACCCCAATGCCTCTTGCCCCATTGAAAAAAATAAAAAAAATCCACATTTGCTTTCCAAACTCTTCACGCGCACCGTACGCATTGACGCGCACCCTGCGTCAATTCTATCCAAAACTTTGGATTAATCTCGCAAGCTAAGGGATTTATATTTTCAGTCCCTTTCTTCTTCATGTAGGCGTAGACGACACGTGTGAGAGGGCAGGGCTTGCACAGAGCGACGGGTCCGCACTGAGTACAGTAAAACCTTGGATTGCGAGTAACTTGGTCTGCGAGTGTTTTGCAAGACGAGCAAAAAATTTTTGTTTTTAAGAAATATTAATTTGACAAACGAGCGAGGGTCTTGCAATACGAGTAGTAGTACGTATAGACGCTTTGTACTGCCGAGCATCACGTGATCACAACTGATATAAGAGTGCTTTGATATACGAGTGCTTTGGATTACAAACACGTTTCCGGAACGAGTTATTCGCGCAATCCAAGGTTTTACTGTATTGGTTTTGGTCGTGACGCGTGGTATAGCTCCACGCGCCGTGCCGAAATTGGACCATTCGATACGGCGATTCGGCTTCGTGGAGAATTACTAATGCGCCGTACGTGTGCCCGAAAGCGCTGCTGTGCCGAATGATCCCCAATTACGAACGATCATATAACGAGGTTTTACTGTACAACTAAAAAAAAAACCACACGCATCTCCACATTTGCCGAACGCATCCTAGGAACCAGGTGGGGGGGGGGGGTTTCTTTTTTCCTTTGCTTGTTTTCCGAACGGGAGAATCTCAGCGGGCGGGCGCCTGCGGCTCTTCAGGCAGAGAAGCGTTCCAAATCGGAGGTGCCAAAAGGGCCTGACAAAGCCTGAGCTTCCGAAACTTCTTTTTTTTGCGCGCCCAAAGCATAGCTGACAAGAGGAGCACCACGGCTTTGGATGGTGAAGCTGCAGTTTATCGGAATGGTGGCGTTTTTTAATAATAGGGGTTTTTCCCCTTTTTTTCTGCCAACAAAACTGAAACCTTTTTACGAGGATTCATGTTACTGCATTAACCACAATACCTGCAGTCAAAATGCAAACAAAAAACATGCTATGATAATATATCAGAAGGCGTTACGCGCCTCCTGGCGTCATCTGGTTGAGCATCAATTGGGTCGAGGCTCAAAAGAAAGCCGTCCCTTGGTGTGGACCAATCAGTTTCAAGGACAATGCCAATATATTATCATAGTATTTTTTTTGTTTGCATTTTGACTGCAGGTATTGTGGTTTTAATGCAGTAACATGAATCCTTGTAAAAAGGTTTCAGTTTTGTTGCCAGAAAAAAGGGGAAAAACCCTATTATTACATTTTGGTACTGGCAAAGGAGGTCTAATGATGGCGTTTTTTTATATATATCTTGATTAAAATGTTTGCTATACACAAGAACAAAATGGCCCGCTGCGGAATGTTGGGAGGCAAAACAAATAAACCGCACGTGAATATCCGCCGGGCCCCGTGTACTTGACATTCTGGGATCGTGAATTTCATTGTTAATGTGCACGTGAAATAACAACAACACAAAGCCTTTAGCCAGGCGGTGGCGGAGGCTACGCGCGTGGCCTGTCGTCCGGCACTGTGGAGGCAGTGAGGGTTTGTGGATCACGTGCGCAGACGCTGCTAAACGCGCTTCCCCGTAGAGCGTCGAGGTGCTGTACCCCGGCTTGCCAGCAGAATGCGGAATCAGCAATAAGTGTGGACTGATATCGTCTGTCTCTTCTGTGTGGGATAGAGCATTGTCCCCCCGGTTTCCTATCATTGACCGTTCTAGCCCTCTATTGTGTGGAGTCTGCTACCGTCTGGAAACTTAATCGGAGGCCGGTCCATCAAATCTATTCTTATCTAGAGACCGATTGGTCAACGACGCGTGGCGTGACGCCATCGGTTAACGTGGCGCTTTAAGCGTCGGTGCGTTCACGCCGTTCCGTGCCATCCGTCACGGTGGGGGGGGGTGGGTGGGGCCTGTGAATCTCACTAAGATGGTGAAACTTTAGAACCTTTTCTTGTGTCGCCTGTTAGGAACTTTCCCTCCAGGAGACAAAAACGGCCGCAGTTATCTTGGAAGGTGCGCAAAAAATTGAGGCCCAAATCGGAGCCTAAAGGACCAGAGCGCATTTGTAAACATCCTTCCCCCGCACCTCCAATTCGCGTGGTTGGCTACGTGTGGTGCGAAAGATATTCGACGTACGTACGTTGCGAAAGAAGTTCAACTTGCGTACGTTGCGAAAGAAGTTCAGCATACGTACGTTGTGAAAAGTTCAGCTTACATACATACGTACGTTACGAAATAAGTTAAACTTACATACATACATACGGTGCGAAAGAAGTTAAACACATACGTACGTTGCGAAATAAGTTCAACGTGCATACATTCTTCGCGGAGGTGCGTGTGTATGTACGTTGAACTTCTTTCGCACCGTACGTAACCAACAGTGCTGATCGGAGGTGAAGCGATAAGATCGGCTCGCTGTGCCAGGGACGGACGGACGGGCTGACTGACTGATGGACTGATGGACGGACTGATGGATTGACTGACTGACAATCGGACAGACTGACGCACATGGGACAGGGGCAGAGGGCCTTCGTCCAGCGGTTCGAATCGGTTGTCCTCAGATCGAGAGGATCGTGGGAGACACGTCGTGCGTCGGGGACATCGCGAGCCAGCCGGAGCTTCTCTCGCATGTCATCGAGTGCATCCGGGACGACACCACGTCCGTGGCCACCCAGGTAACCGAGCGCGACGTGGCCCGGCCGGCGTCCGCCGCAGCTCCTCGCAGAGGTGGCCCCGGTGGCGCGGGTTTCCGAATTATATTCTTAGCTCTTTCGGTAAAGTCACGTTGAAGGGAAACAATAAAATAATAAAGTATAATCGTTCGCGTCGCCCGTCTCGTCGTTGCCAAAGCAACGAGCGACAACGACAAGAATTGCAACGATGGTCGCGATGCCGTCTTTGCCGACGCCGCCTGTCCATCTCGCGGCCAGGCCGTCCGCTGCCTGGTGCGCGTGGCCGCGGCCCGGGAGGGCCTCCAAGCGCTCTTCACCGGCGCCCTCCTCGCTAAGCTCAACGGCGTCATGGCGACCAGCGACGTCGTACGCTACCGCGTGTACGAGGTCAGAATTCCTCTTCCCTCTCCTTCCTTCCCCCCCCCCCCACCCTCCTTCCCACCCCACCAGCTTACTCCCTCGTCTGTGCTGTCGACGCAGTGCGCCGTGCCGCACGCCGGCCTTCATGCACGGGCGCGTGAACCGTGGCTACGAGATGTTAGCTACCTCGCCTGGCATGCAGGAGGCCGTGGGTTCGATCCCGACCTTGACCCTGTTGTATAATTGGAGTTTGCGGCGTCTCGCTCTCCCTCCCCGTGGTCGCGTGGATTTTTCTCCGGGTCCTCCGGTTTTGCCTTGCACGTTTAGAATCAACTTTACGCGTTGGGAGTATTTGGCTGCGATACAGTTCCGCATGATGATGATGATGGTAATAAGCCACTTCGTTGGGCTATCATTTGTGGCCAGGTCGCTTATGAATCTTTGTGTTTCGTGTGGATGCCGCAGCTGGTGGTGGAGATTGCGGGAGCGTCGTCCACGTCGCTGCGCTACTGCGACGAGGCCGGGTTCATCTCCCGCCTCGTCGCCGAGCTGGTGGGCAACGACGTGCTCATCCGGTGAGACAGCGTGCTCGCACGCTCGCACGCTCGCACGCTCGGCCCCCAGCTCACACTCTCACCCGCTCTCACACTCTCACCCGCTCACACTCTCACCCGCTCACACTCTCGCCCGCTCACACGCTCGGGCCCCAGCTCACACGCTCGCACGCTCGCACACTCACCCGCTCACACTCACCCGCTCTCACACTCTCACCCGCTCGCACGCTTGCACGCTCGCCCGCTCGCACACTCTCACCCGCTCACACTCTCACCCGCTCACACTCACCCGCTCTCACACTCTCACCCGCTCGCACGCTTGCACGCTCGCCCGCTCTCGCACTCACCCGCTCACACTCTCACCCGCTCAGCCACCAGCTCACACTCTCACCCACTCACACGGCTCACCCGCTCGCACTCTCACCCGCTCACACTCTCGCCCGCTCACACTCTCACCCGCTCACACTCTCGCCCGCTCACACTCTCACCCGCTCACACTCTCGCCCGCTCACTCGGCTCACCCGCTCACACGCTCACCCGCTCACACTCTCACCCGCTCACACGGCTCACCCGCTCACACTCTCAGCCGCTCACACGCTCACCCGCTCACACGCTCACCCGCTCACACTCTCACCCGCTCACACGGCTCACCCGCTCACACTCTCACCCGCTCACACGCTCACCCGCTCACACTCTCACCCGCTCACACTCTCAGCCGCTCACACTCTCACCCGCTCACATTCTCACACGCTCACCCGCTCACACTCTCACCCGCTCACACGTCTCGCCCGCTCACACTCTCACCCGCTCACACTCTCACCCGCTCACACTCTCACCCGCTCACACGGCTCACCCGCTCACACTCTCACACGCTCACCCGCTCTCACACTCTCACCCGCTCTCACACTCTCACCCGCTCTCACCCGCTCACACGTCTCACCCGCTCACACGTCTCACCCGCTCAGCCACCAGATCACACCCTCGCCCGCTCAGCCACCAGCTCGCACCCTCGCCCTCTCACACCCTTGCCCGCTCAGCCACCAGCTCACACCCTCGCCCGCTCAGCCACCAGCTCGCACTCTCACCCGCTCACACTCTCGCCCGCTCACACGCTCACCCGCTCTCACACTCTCACCCGCTCTCACCCGCTCACACGGCTCACCCGCTCACACGTCTCACCCGCTCAGCCACCAGATCACACCCTCGCCCGCTCAGCCACCAGCTCGCACCCTCGCCCTCTCGCACCCTCGCCCGCTCAGCCACCAGCTCACACCCTCGCCCGCTCAGCCACCAGCTCGCACCACCCTCGCCCGCTCAAACCCTCGCCCGCTCCACCGCGGGCGGCGCCGGAGACCGCCACGTGTCTGTGCGCAGCGCGACGAGCGCAGAGACGGTGAGCGGCCTGGTTCGCACTCCGCACGGCCGCCACCACCTCCTCCACGCCGGCATCGTGGACCGGATCGCCGGGCTCCTGCAGGACGCGCACAGCGACCCCTTCTGCGACCTCTACCTCCCCGGTGCCGGACGCGGATAGTTTTGTTTTCCTTTCCTTTGAAGTTAGATGTTGTTGGTTTTGGTTTTTTACGTTTTGAGCTTGAACGCGTGATGGCGGCGCTTCCGTTGGCAGACTCGTGCCGGAAAAGGCGCCCGCTGTCTGCGTAAGCCACGAAAAAAATCGAATTGACTTGACGCTCATTCGCCCGCTCGCCCGCCCGCTCGCCCGCCCCGCTGGGCTGGGGAGGGTTCGCGGCTGGAGCGTTTGGGGCCCGCGCGTAGCAGCGCCATCGATTGTCGCGCTCGCGTTCACAGACGGCACACAAGCGGAGTGCTGAACTAGTTAACCGATCGGCACGTTTTGTTTACGCGACGAACCTTGCTAGGCGGCCGTGTCGGGCGGTGGCGGGTTTTTAGCGACACACATTGACGCGATCTAGCCCCCAAAAAAAAAAATTATCTCAGCTATGGGAAGCATTGGTCGCGAAAGCTTCTTACTGCTGCTACTACCACATGAGGGGCGGCTCAGATGACGAATATCTCGCTCGTGCTCTCAACGTCGCAGCGACGTCAACACATTTTTGTCGTGGTTTTTTGTTATTATGCATATTTTTTTAAAACACCCGACCGCATCGCGCAGGATTCGCGAGTGGCTTTCGCCAGCCGCTTTTGAGGGTGCGGAGGGAGGTGTGTGTGGGGTGGCTGGGCGAGGAGGGAGGCCTTCATTCAACAGTGGTCAGGTCACGGCGGCTGCAAGGCTAAGGCTGTACGTTATCGGCGAATCGTCAGCGGGCGGGCGCGTCACCCTGCGGCCGATATCCGAGACTTGGTGATCAGTAGCCCGACGAACGCTCGGCTTGATCCGTTCTTCAGCTTTTCCTGCCGTCATCATCATTATTATCGTACGTCGTATCGAATACACTGCAAGGTCGCGCGCACGCACACACAAAGCGCTTGCCACAAATGAACCACTATACCTCGCCGGTCTCGTCAAGGAGCGTAAACCGTCATCGCCACGCGACACTCCGCTCGGCCTCGCAGCGGCGCCGGCGGCGGCGGCAGCTTTTGGCTCGGCGCTTTCAGACGCGCTGGTGCTGCGGCCGTCTGGAACGCTCTTCCCTTCCGATATGAGGAAGCCACTGGAACTGTGCACTGTTAAAAACCACTGACAAACTTATTTCTTGGTGTTTGTCGTCCTTCCTGCACACCTCTAGTTCGCACGGTTGGCTACGTACGGTTAAAAAGAGGTTCATCATACACACATTATATTGCTGAGACACTTGTTTAGCCCAGGAAAGTCTCAGGGAGTTCTAAATCCCTCTAAATCTATTTTTATTTTACCAGGTTGAGGCCCAAAGAGCCAGCAGACCAACCCTCCGCACCCCCTCTGCCCGCTTCCCCCAGGTCTGGTGAAGTTCTTTGCCCGGCTGGCGGTGCTGGAAGGGCCCGAGGCGCTGTGCGAGCGCTACCCTCCATTCCTCGCCGCCGTCTCCTCCATGCTGCTGGGCCCGGAGCCCGGCCTCAACTCCGTGGCTCTCGACACCATCGGACTCATCGCCCGCTCCGCCGAGGGCAAGCGAGTGCTCGGCAAGGAGGGTGAGCGGGCGGGCAGGCGGGCGGGCGGACAGACGGGTGGGTGTGTTGATTGAGTGGGTGGTTGGGCGTGTGGGCGGGTGAGCGGGCGGGTGGGTGAGTGGGCGGGTAAGCGAGCGGACAGACCGGTGGGTGAGCGGGTGGGTGAGCGGCCGGGCAGACTGGTGGGTGAGCAGGTGGGTGAGCGAGCGGACAGACCGGTGGGTGAGTGGGTGGGTGAGTGAGCGGACAGATCGGTGGGTGAGCGGGTGGGTGAGCGGCCGGGCAGACTGGTGGGTGAGCAGGTGGGTGAGCGAGCGAGCGGGCAGACCGGTGGGTGAGTGGGTGGGTGAGCGAGCGGACAGATCGGTGGGTGAGCGGGTGGGTGAGCGAGCGGGCAGACTGGTGGGTGAGCGGGTGGGTGAGCGAGCGAGCGGACAGACCGGTTGGTGAGCGGGTGGATAAGCGAGCGGACAGACCGGTGGGTGAGCGGGTGGGTGAGCGGGCGGGCAGACCGGTGGGTGAGCGGGTGGGTGAGCGGGCGGGCAGACTGGTGGGCGAGCGGGCGGGTGGGCGAGTCAACACGTTCCGTGTCAATATCAACAAGTGTATAATGGGCGACGTTTCTGGCGACAGCCCTCCTGCACAGCATGCAACATTTGAAGTCGGGGCACTCGTGGGTATTCGATTGTTGGCAGTCAGGGTAGGTGCACGTTTCCACCCTCCTCCAACGTCGTCGAGATTGTCCAATCGGTGAACTGGGTGAATCTCTTTATTTAACAGGCATGCAGTTCCCACAGCTGCTCAAGAGGATGGGGAACCTGATGCAGAATTCTCCCACAGAGATGCGGGCACGATGCTTGGATACCATCGCAGCCGTGCTGTCCGTGCCGGTAGGATCACAGCTCACCTGCATCCCCACTCACCCAACCACTCGCCCACACACCTGAACGCCCACGCGTGTGACCATGTACACGGCGACTCGCCCACTCACCCATCCAAATATCTACATACCCACTCACCCACCCACCTACACTCCCACGCGTGTAACCGCGTGCACGGCTACTCCCCCACTCACCCATGCAAATATCTGCATGCCCACTCACCCACCCACTTACTGACCCATCTACATATCTGTGGTGTGTGTGTTGACGATGTCGTGATTTCAGTGTGCGTATTGGCAGTGTGTGTGTAATTTCCGTGTGTGTGTGTTGGTGGTATGTGTATATGTTGGCGGTGTGTGTGTTGGCTGTGTGTGTGTAGCGGTTAGCGCGCTGCGCTATGTACCTGGCGACCTGGGTTCGATTCCCGCTCATGGCCAACACCAGTGACAATTATCTGAATCGGTCCCGGTCCTACCCTAGGTCGACTCAGCCTCAAATGAGTACCTGGTGCGGTGTGTAAACATTGCCACTGGGGAGACAAAGGCGGTCGGGCGTGGTGCTGGCCACCCACCCCCTCGTGTACCGTGAGAGTGTGAGTGAGTGTGTGGTGTGTGTGTGGTGTGAGGGTGTGGAGTTTGTGTGTTCTCTCTCCCTGTTCTGCAGAGTAAGCGTGAGTGTGTGGGTGTGTGGTGTGGAGCGTGAGTGAGTGGAGTTTGTATGTTCTCTCTCTCGTTGTTCTACAGAGTGAAAGTGCATGTGTGGTGTGAGTGAGTGTGTGGAGTTTGTGTGTTCTCCGTTCTGTTCTGCAGAGTGTGAGAACGTTTGTGGGTGTGCGGTGTGTGTCGACTCAGCCTCAAAATGAGTACCTGGAGCGACGCGTAAACATCGCCACTAGGGAGACAAAGGCGGTCGGGCGTGGGTGCTGGCCACCCACCCCCCTCGTGTACCGTTCCGGCCTTCATAGGTGCTCGCTAACAGCACTTGCCCCCTACATTCTGTTAAGGCTATACGGGGGATCTTTGTCTGTGTGTAAGGAGGGCGAGGGTGAGGAGGCGGTGGAGGTGAGTGAGCGGTGGTTCTGGGCCCTCGCCCCGCGCCCCTTCGATCTCCTCCGCGGGATCTGCACCCAGCCCTTCCCCGAGCTCCACTGCAGCGCCCTACTCGTCCTCACGGTGCGCTCTCGCTGTCCCAGCCTCGTCTCCCCTCGCGACGTCTCCCCCTGCAGTTTCTCTCGCCTCTTTCGGTAAGGTCACGTGGGTAGAAGAAATAAGAGATCACGACGTTTCGACCGCAGCAAAAGCAATCGTCGTCAGGTGGGACAACCACAGCAACAAAAAAAAACTGCTGAAGTAGGCTCCTACTACTGAAGTAGGCTCCTACTGCTCCTACTACTGAAGTAGGCTCCTACTACTGAAGTAGGCTCCTACTACTGAAGTAGGCTCCTACTACTGAAGTAGGCTCCTACTGCTCCTACTACTGAAGTAGGCTCCTACTGCTCCTACTACTGAAGTAGGCTCCTACTGCTCCTACTACTGAAGTAGGCTCCTACTACTGAAGTAGGCTCCTACTGCTCCTACTACTGAAGTAGGCTCCTACTGCTCCTACTACTGAAGTAGGCTCCTACTGCTCCTACTACTGAAGTAGGCTCCTACTGCTCCTACTACTGAAGTAGGCTCCTACTGCTCCTACTACTGAAGTAGGCTCCTACTACTGAAGTAGGCTCCTACTGCTCCTACTACTGAAGTAGGCTCCTACTGCTCCTACTACTGAAGTAGGCTCCTACTGCTCCTACTACTGAAGTAGGCTCCTACTGCTCCTATTACTGAAGTAGGCTCCTACTGCTCCTACTACTGAAGTAGGCTCCTACTGCTCCTACTACTGAAGTAGGCTCCTACTACTGAAGTAGGCTCCTACTACTGAAGTAGGCTCCTACTACTGAAGTAGGCTCCTACTGCTCCTACTACTGAAGTAGGCTCCTACTACTGAAGTAGGCTCCTACTACTGAAGTAGGCTCCTACTGCTCCTACTACTGAAGTAGGCTCCTACTGCTCCTACTACTGAAGTAGGCTCCTACTACTGAAGTAGGCTCCTACTGCTCCTACTACTGAAGTAGGCTCCTACTGCTCCTACTACTGAAGTAGGCTCCTACTGCTCCTACTACTGAAGTAGGCTCCTACTGCTCCTATTACTGAAGTAGGCTCCTACTGCTCCTACTGCTGAAGTAGGATCCTACTGCTCCTACTACTGAAGTAGGCTCCTACTACTGAAGTAGGCTCCTACTACTCCTACTACTGAAGTAGGCTCCTACTGCTCCTACTACTGAAGTAGGCTCCTACTGCTGAAGTAGGCTCCTACTGCTCCTATTACTGAAGTAGGCTCCTACTGCTCCTACTACTGAAGTAGGCTCCTACTGCTCCTACTACTGAAGTAGGCTCCTACTACTCCTACTACTCAAGTAGGCTCCTACTGCTCCTACTACTGAAGTAGGCTCCTACTGCTCCTACTACTGAAGTAGGCTCCTACTGCTCCTACTGATGAAGTAGGCTCCTACTACTCCTACTACTGAAGTAGGCTCCTACTACTCCTACTACTGAAGTAGGCTCCTACTGCTCCTACTACTGAAGTAGGCTCCTACTACTCCTACTACTCAAGTAGGCTCCTACTGCTCCTACTACTGAAGTAGGCTCCTACTGCTCCTACTACTGAAGTAGGCTCCTACTGCTCCTACTACTGAAGTAGGCTCCTACTGCTCCTACTACTGAAGTAGGCTCCTACTGCTCCTACTACTGAAGTAGGCTCCTACTACTGAAGTAGGCTCCTACTACTCCTACTACTGAAGTAGGCTCCTACTGCTCCTACTACTGAAGTAGGCTCCTACTACTGAAGTAGGCTCCTACTGCTCCTACTACTGAAGTAGGCTCCTACTGCTCCTACTACTGAAGTAGGCTCCTACTACTGAAGTAGGCTCCTACTGCTCCTACTACTGAAGTAGGCTCCTACTGCTCCTATAACTGAAGTAGGCTCCTACTGCTCCTACTACTGAAGTAGGCTCCTACTGCTCCTACTACTGAAGTAGGCTCCTACTGCTCCTACTACTGAAGTAGGCTCCTACTACTGAAGTAGGCTCCTACTGCTCCTACTACTGAAGTAGGCTCCTACTGCTCCTACTACTGAAGTAGGCTCCTACTGCTCCTACTACTGAAGTAGACTCCTACTACTGAAGTAGGCTCCTACTGCTCCTACTGCTGAAGTAGGCTCCTACTACTGAAGTAGGCTCCTACTGCTCCTACTACTGAAGTAGGCTCCTACTACTGAAGTAGGCTCCTACTACTGAAGTAGGCTCCTACTACTGAAGTAGGCTCCTACTGCTCCTACTACTGAAGTAGGCTCCTACTGCTGAAGTAGGCTCCTACTGCTCCTACTACTGAAGTAGGCTCCTACTACTGAGGTAGGCTCCTACTACTGAAGTAGGCTCCTACTGCTCCTACTGCTGAAGTAGGCTCCTACTACTGAAGTAGGCTCCTACTACTGAGGTAGGCTCCTACTACTGAAGTAGGCTCCTACTACTGAAGTAGGCTCCTACTACTGAAGTAGGCTCCTACTACTCCTACTACTGAAGTAGGCTCCTACTACTCCTACTACTGAAGTAGGCTCCTACTACTGAAGTAGGCTCCTACTGCTCCTACTACTGAAGTAGGCTCCTACTGCTGAAGTAGGCTCCTACTGCTCCTACTACTGAAGTAGGCTCCTACTGCTCCTACTACTGAAGTAGGCTCCTACTGCTCCTACTACTGAAGTAGGCTCCTACTGCTCCTACTACTGAAGTAGGCTCCTACTGCTCCTACTACTGAAGTAGGCTCCTACTGCTCCTACTACTGAAGTAGGCTCCTACTACTGAAGTAGGCTCCTACTACTGAAGTAGGCTGCTACTACTGAAGTAGGCTCCTACTACTCCTACTGCTGAAGTAGGCTGCTACTGCTCCTACTACTGAAGTAGGCTCCTACTGCTCCTACTACTGAAGTAGGCTCCTACTGCTCCTACTACTGAAGTAGGCTCCTACTGCTCCTACTACTGAAGTAGGCTCCTACTGCTCCTACTACTGAAGTAGGCTCCTACTGCTCCTACTACTGAAGTAGGCTCCTACTACTGAAGTAGGCTCCTACTGCTCCTACTGCTGAAGTAGGCTCCTACTGCTCCTACTACTGAAGTAGGCTCCTACTACTCCTACTACTGAAGTAGGCTCCTACTGCTCCTACTACTGAAGTAGGCTCCTACTACTGAAGTAGGCTCCTACTGCTCCTACTACTGAAGTAGGCTCCTACTGCTCCTACTACTGAAGTAGGCTCCTACTGCTCCTACTACTGAAGTAGGCTCCTACTACTGAAGTAGGCTCCTACTGCTCCTACTACTGAAGTAGGCTCCTACTGCTCCTACTACTGAAGTAGGCTCCTACTGCTCCTACTACTGAAGTAGGCTCCTACTACTGAAGTAGGCTCCTACTGCTCCTACTACTGAAGTAGGCTCCTACTGCTCCTACTACTGAAGTAGGCTCCTACTGCTCCTACTGCTGAAGTAGGCTCCTACTGCTCCTACTACTGAAGTAGGCTCCTACTGCTCCTACTACTGAAGTAGGCTCCTACTACTGAAGTAGGCTCCTACTGCTCCTACTACTGAAGTAGGCTCCTACTGCTCCTACTACTGAAGTAGGCTCCTACTGCTCCTACTACTGAAGTAGGCTCCTACTACTGAAGTAGGCTCCTACTGCTCCTACTACTGAAGTAGGCTCCTACTGCTCCTACTACTGAAGTAGGCTCCTACTACTCCTACTGCTCCTACTACTGAAGTAGGCTCCTACTGCTCCTACTACTCCTACTGCTCCTACTGCTGAAGTAGGCTCCTACTGCTCCTACTACTGAAGTAGGCTCCTACTGCTCCTACTACTGAAGTAGGCTCCTACTGCTCCTACTACTGAAGTAGGCTCCTACTACTGAAGTAGGCTCCTACTGCTCCTACTACTGAAGTAGGCTCCTACTGCTCCTACTACTGAAGTAGGCTCCTACTACTCCTACTGCTCCTACTACTGAAGTAGGCTCCTACTGCTCCTACTACTCCTACTGCTCCTACTGCTGAAGTAGGCTCCTACTGCTCCTACTACTGAAGTAGGCTCCTACTGCTCCTACTACTGAAGTAGGCTGCTACTGCTCCTACTACTGAAGTAGGCTCCTACTGCTCCTACTACTGAAGTAGGCTCCTACTACTGAAGTAGGCTCCTACTGCTCCTACTACTGAAGTAGGCTCCTACTGCTCCTACTACTGAAGTAGGCTCCTACTGCTCCTACTGCTGAAGTAGGCTCAAACTGCTCCTACTACTGAAGTAGGCTCCTACTGCTCCTACTACTGAAGTAGGCTCCTACTACTGAAGTAGGCTCCTACTGCTCCTACTACTGAAGTAGGCTCCTACTGCTCCTACTACTGAAGTAGGCTCCTACTACTGAAGTAGGCTCCTACTGCTCCTACTACTGAAGTAGGCTCCTACTGCTCCTACTACTGAAGTAGGCTCCTACTGCTCCTACTACTGAAGTAGGCTCCTACTGCTCCTACTACTGAAGTAGGCTCCTACTACTGAAGTAGGCTCCTACTGCTCCTACTGCTGAAGTAGGCTCCTACTGCTCCTACTACTGAAGTAGATTCCTACTACTCCTACTACTGAAGTAGGCTCCTACTACTGAAGTAGGCTCCTACTGCTCCTACTACTGAAGTAGGCTCCTACTACTGAAGTAGGCTCCTACTGTCCTACTCCTACTGAAGTAGGCTCCTACTACTGAAGTAGGCTCCTACTGCTCCTACTACTGAAGTAGGCTCCTACTACTGAAGTCGGCTCCTACTGCTCCTACTACTGAAGTAGGCTCCTACTGCTCCTACTACTGAAGTAGGCTCCTACTACTGAAGTAGGCTCCTACTGCTCCTACTACTGAAGTAGGCTCCTACTACTGAAGTAGGCTCCTACTGCTCCTACTACTGAAGTAGGCTCCTACTGCTCCTACTACTGAAGTAGGCTCCTACTGCTCCTACTACTGAAGTAGGCTCCTACTGCTCCTACTACTGAAGTAGGCTCCTACTACTGAAGTAGGCTCCTACTACTGAAGTAGGCTGCTACTACTGAAGTAGGCT